AGGGCCTTTATTGAACATTGAAGTAACGAATATAGGAGAGGAGAGGAGGATTCGTTGAGAGCAACTGTCGCAGCCGAGACAGGGAAGAGAAGAAAAGAAACAAGAAAAAAAAATAGATAACAAGGTCTGTAGGTACATCGGTGAGGTTGGCAGGAACCGATCCAGGGTCGCTCTTCCTATTTGCCAGCATCCCCTTACCAAAATTCGGTCAAGATGGCAGGTACCTTGGTATTGAGGTGCATCGTATGGATACAGCAAGCTGCGCTGCACGGCAACAAGCACGCAGTAATAAATCAGCACTACAGCGACGGGAAGAGCAAGCACGAACGCATCGGAAGCTCTCCGGAAACAACTGACATGAAGCAGGAAGCAGGAAGCAGGACGCAGGAGCAGGAACAGGAGACAGAAAACAGAAAACAGCAACCCCCTCCGCACCTTGTCTCCCTGCTTGACCACGAATACTGGGCCTCACCTGGGCTCCTTCCGGAGACCTTGGCCTTGGCCTCAATTCACACCTATGAGCATCTGTACGAAAACTTCATACATTGAAAGTAATAAGGCAGGTCCCGTCGTGGCTGGCAGGCTGCTCAAACATATCCGTCCGGGAAGACACCTGCCCAGGTACAGGTGCTAGGTATTACACACCTGGACCTTACCTCATTACATCCGCTCAGTCTTTGCATTTGCAACCGCATCCGTGACCATAGCCTCCCTCAGTCGCACTTGCCTCTATTCAGACTTGCAAGCAACAAGGGTCGACACGATATTGCATTTTTCAGTTTCGATTTTTCTGTTCTACTCCTCCCGGTTTTATTAGGTTGGTAGGCTGCCCCCGTCTTTGAGCTTCATACCTGTTCCAGGTCTCCCGGTCTCCCTCACCTAGGTACTCCGTCCAGTTTACCTTAGTTTCCTCCCCTCATATTCCCGTCATTCCTTTCTCTCCCAAGATCTCGTCCGGCATCCACCTCACGCCAACTAACAACGTTTGCGCCTCACGTTCACATTCACACGCTGGTTGGATGACCTCGGAAGTCGGCGCTAGCTCACACTCGTTTCGCCGTCAGCTGCATCAAACACTCGGAAACTACGGTGGAGACCGGGTGTTCGTTCCGTTTTCAAGGACCCTACTAAGGACAGCGTCCCAAGACTAAGGATAGGTGTGTGTGCGCGATCTTCAGTTGGTGTGTTCGTGTGTTTGTCCTGTGGGTGTGTTCTCGTCTCGGGACTCAGATCCCTTCATCCTAACAACATCTCCATCCCCATCTCCCGCCCCGCTCCGCCTGGCCATGGCCGTGAGTGACCGTGGCGTGGCCGTGGCCTGTGACAAGATACTAAAGAGCATGGAGGAGATGAGATGCGCTATTCTGGTCATTTTAGCACCACGGCTGTCAGTGACTTGACCGTCTGCGCCGCTACGGATATCTATTCGCAGCACCTGATGGACACTGCCTTGGGCTGTCACTTGCACGTCAAAGCAGATGGTATTCTAGGTACTCCGTAGCAGGTGCATCAACGACATCGATATCCACGACGAGTTGAGGGCCATTGTCGTCTCCATTTCATGTCACTGCCACTGCCACAGACACGGGTCTGGAACGTTTTCGCAAAGGCCCGCGTTCACAAGCATCGTCATCGACGTCGCTTTCCTCCCCTCTATTCTCGCGGCTCTCTTATTGGCATCGACACCAGGTCCCCGGGGTGTCTTGTCTTGGCCGTGTTGTTGTTGTTTTTTTTAGCCTGTCATTGTCACCGTCTTCGTCACTGTACGGCTCTGGTCTGCCGTTTCCCTCCACAATTAACCTTCTCTTGTCTCATTGCGACGGCGTGTTTCTTTTTATTGTTTCCCCTGGGCCTCTGGGTGGCATTTGGGGGCCCAATTCATGTCCATTCCGGTCCCCCTTGATCAAAGTCTCCATCATCTCCATGTTCCGTGCTTTCCCTACGAGCAACATCATATGCATGAGTGGCTCCGGCTCCGGCACTAACAAGGGCGCACATCAGGACCCTGGTAAAGAAACGCTGGAGTTGGAGCTGCGACCTCGAGCAACCGAGTCCAGACCCTCTCGCCTGCTTTGACGTTCAGGAGCTGCCGCCAATCCCTTGCCGAGTAAGGTATCCAAGACGTATCACTGTCACAATCCCGTACCAACACCAGTATCAGGGTACAGGATCGCGGCCCGTACGGAGTAAGGTGGTTCGAGGCGCTGCCGTTCTGCGTTCTACCTTGGATGCTGGATCCCTTCCAGATACGGTTCCCGGAGCATTGGAGGTTTGGGCATTTCCGTTTATCCAGCTCCGGCCGGTTTGACAGCTCCTGGATCCGTCAAAAGAGTACAAAGTACCCGTACCCGTACCCGTACTGCGTACCTTAGCAGCAACGATTACCTAGCAACGATGCCAGTCCCAGCCTCCACGTCTCTGGTCTCTGGTCTCCGGTCTCTCCACGCACGCAAATCGACCGGGACCGCTGTGGAGTTTGGTTTGGTTTGGTCGCGGTCGTTGAAGTGGGCTTGAATCCTCGCCAGCCAGCAAAGCCCGCCCTTCTCCTCACCTGAACCATACTGCATAGTACCTCCTCTCGCGCAACCACAAACTTACACCGGGGCGAATACTGGCCACTGCCTCTCTCATTAAGAAGGTATCTGCGAGTGCCGCTGACTGCAAACCGGGACTAGGCGTCACTACCGCCCGCTACAATAGCGCTGCTGGCGCGATTTTCTGTGTGCTCGTGTGTGTGGCTGCTGCCATCGCAGACTTCACCCGTCTTAACGGCATCTCAGTCAGTCATAGCCGTGGACCTTGCAAGGTGAGTCCCAAATGGGAGTGAGCGGCTGATCCTTCATGTCTTTTGCCATGCCCATATCCAAACCCAAGCCAAAGATGCACAGGTGAGGTGTTCCTTAAGGTGCCATCTTACCTAGCACCTTATTCCTTACTGCGTACCTAAGCACCTAAGGGATTATTGCGCATGTATTCTCATCGGGCCATCCAGTGAGAAGCTACGAAAGGCAACTACCCCCCAAAAAGAGTTCCTTCCTGCTGAGGTCGGGTAGTCGTGGTTGTGGTTGTATTAGCCGCTACCACCCACACCCAACCTTCCATTCCCTGCCCTCACTTTAGCAGCTAGACCTTCCTTACACATGGGAACGGGACAACCGACCTTATTTTTCCCTCTGGACGCGCTACATCTGTATATGGCAGTTGGCCTAGGCCGCTCTTCCTCTTTTGGCCGATCCGCACCAACCTTTCAGAGTGTGGCAGCCCGCAGGTGTGTGCCGCTGTAAGGTAGTCGGTACCTGCTTTTGTACTTCTTCCATCGGTGCATCCCACTTGCCCACCCATTCGCTCCTGCCCTGCCCACCCCTCCCTCCAAGTAAATCGAACATCGTCACCGTCACCACCCTTCAAGCCGCCAGTGGGCTGTGGATTTGATTGGATTTTTCTTTGCTTCTTTTTTCCCTCCTTCCATCCTTTCGAGTCTTTTCATCTTTCCTGCATTTTTCGACAACGGCCCCGGTTGGAATTCTCCTTCCCGCCGTCGTTTGTGCCGGAGAGAGTTAGCTGACCGTCGCTCGTTTCATATCGCAGCGCCAAATATCAGCTACCAACCTCACGTAGGTAGGCAGCTTCAGCAAAAGCCGGAGGGGAAAAATATCAGCTACCTTCCGCCGCAAACCTCCAATTCCTCCCATCTCCAAAGCCACAGCTACGAGTATCCGGCACCAACCCCGGCTTTCGGTAGCTGCTTGACCACCGCAGTCACGCTCTCAAGTCCATCCATCTACGGACCCGAGGTCCTTCTTTCCCAGACTTCTCCCCAGTCACAAGCTTTCTCTTCCTTGGTTACCTCCCACAAATCCAAGGAATCGTCGACTTCCGAATCGGTCCATCTTTCGGAGGCCAATATACAGCTTTCAGCAGGACTCGTCCACTTCGCCGCCGCTGTCGCCGCCGCCGCCGCCGCAGCTGCGTAAGGCACTGACTGCGTTCTTGCGCCGCCTATCCCGTCTCTTGCCTCAGATCGAAAGCACAGCCTGCTTCTTGCGAAAAAGCCCACCAAGAAACAAGACCCCACTACAGTCCTCGGCCGCCGAGTACCGCAGTACCTGTATTCTGACAAGTCTTGACTCGACTTCCAGGGACTTCGGGTGGCTTTTCGCCACTGAGCAAGTCAGCAGACCCCACCACTACTCCAACTGAACAGGGCCCCTCTGTACCGCCCTGTGGTCCTGTGGATTCCCACCCGACCTCACCTCACCTGCACCACGACCTGCACCACGACCTGCACCCCCGGCACCACGAGCCTTTGGGAACACCACCACGCTTGCACGACGCCCCCCCCGGTCTCAGCGCCTTCGACCCCTACCTCACCCCGGCACCAACTAAGGACCCAGGACCCAGAACCCAGAACCCAGAACCTTTCCATTTCGACGGGCGGGTAATCGCCTGCCACTGCCAGGCCACACTCGCGTCTCCAGTCGCTGAGGTGCTGCACTTGTTGTCGTCCTGCAGTACGGAGTACTTGCTGCTGCTACCTTACCTTACATACCTACTACCTACGGCACTGCTCCAACATCTTGGTCCCGAAACGAGATCTCGTGTCTGCCTCTTGTCTCTTGTGGGCTCCCACTTCCCTTACGACGCTTCGGCTGCAACTTGCCACGGGGACCACGCCGACGCATCTGCAGCTCCGCGCCAATACCTTAGTATCCCAAGGGACTCAAAGGGCAATGGTGTGAGGTAACCACTAACAACATATCCTCGGTGATCCAATCGTAAGTAACGTACCCTTTTCTACCTCTCAACTAACTTCTTCCACCACTCTCGCTACAACTCTTATTTTGCTTTTGCTTTTGCTTCTACCTCTGCCTCGCGACTCTTCTCTTTTCTTTCCTTTCCCTCTTTGCTTCCTCCCTCCTCTCTCCCGCGCAGGGGGGTTGCTTTCCCTTGTACTGTTTGTTCCTGACATCTGACTTTCTCGCCCCCAAACAGTTCACACCATGGCTGGTGTCGAGAAACCGCCGCTGTCGATGCGGCTCGACGACCCCTTCGACCACGACGACTTGACCATTGCCTGTCGCAATGGCTCCTGGGCCGCCTGCACACTCAAACGCGCCTTGATAACATACCCCGCCGTCCTGTTGGTCGTATTCATTGTCACGGCCGCAACCTACACAATCGTCACGGCGAAGAAAGAAGAGGACGAGTCCAAGGTGGAGGACTTGCTGGGCCCGGGCGGTAAAAGGCTTCCCGTCACCAAGAAGAAGAAGCGCCGCGAAGACGACAACACCGAACGCACACGAATCGGCCCGGTCCTCTCTCCCACCTCGAAAACATGGCTGAAATGGATCAGTCTCGCCGTCTTCTTGTCCTTCATCGCCAGTGGTGTTGCCCACATCAGCCATGTGGTAGAGGAGTTGGAAACGGCCGGGCTGCCCAAAGACGGCGTCAAGCGGTGGGAGGAATCGCAGAACATGGCGGTACGGCAACCCTCGCGCTCCCCGGTCCGTGAATCTAGGCTAATTGGACACAGGTCTACCTCATAGGCTCGCCGAATCTGTACCTGTACCTGTTTTTCACGCTTCTCGAATGGCGCGACAGTCCCATGATAGCCCACTTCGTCACCTGGACTCTCGGTCTGGTTGGCGAGTTGACCATCTGCGTCTGCACCTTCGTCTGGGTCATGGAGCCTCAGTACATCAAAAGGTCTAAGGGCCTCGAAGAGCTTCCGGCCTCCAAGTGGGACATGGTCGACCTCATCATCTACGTCATCCGCCTAGTCTTGATGATCACTCTCGTCGGCATCTACGCCGCAGCTTGGGCCAAGAAACCACGACACGAAGAAGACAAAGTCGAGGAGCGAGCTTCCGCGCCCGTGGAGGAGAGTACACCCCTACTCCACGGTTCACGTACATCGTACAGCAGTCAGTCTGGACGGGATACGAACGGACGCTCCCTCCGCAACTCTCGGAACGGTAGTACTGTCAGCAACACTAATGGCGCGGCAGACGGTGCCACTGCTAAGGACTACCGAGAGCCTGGTTTCTATCGACCCGACAAGGCACCCCACAAGACCTGGTGGGAATATATCCGAAGCTACAGGATCTTCATCCAGTATCAGTGGCCCAAGAATTCGCCACGCCTCAAGCTCCTCTACTGCCTCTGCTGTGTCCTTTTGCTTGCTCAGAGGACGATTAACGTCTTCGTCCCTCTGGTAGTAGGCGCACTCACCGACCAGTTGACTAAGGGCGAGGCACCCTGGTTCATGCTGAGCGTGTTCATCGTCTTGCGGCTCATGCAGGGCTCTGGCATGCTTCTCGACGCACTGCGCGCGATTATGTGGGTGCCCATCTCACAGAATTCTTACAGGGCCTTGACTACGTCAGCCTTCGAACACGTCCACTCTCTCAGTCTGGACTTCCACCTCGGAAAACGCACCGGCGAAGTATTGTCTGCTCTCAACAAAGGCGCATCTATCAACTCTTTCCTCGAACAGGCGACATTTTCGGTATTGCCCATGGTTATTGATCTGTTCACGGCAATTACCGTCTTCTACTGGGTCTTCGACCCAACATACGCCGCCATCGTCAGCTGTTTGACATTCTGGTACCTGTTTCTCACAATAAGAATGGCGCAGACTCGGGCCGACCAGCGAAGAATCATGTCAAATGCGGACAGGGAAGAGGAAGCCGTGAAGAATGACTCGATTACTAGTTATGAGACGGTCAAATACTTCAACGCAGAGCAGAAGGAATTCGGCCGTTACAGGGATGCTATTAACTCCTACCAAGACGCCGAGAGAAAGGTCACATGGGGCGTCAACCGGATGAACATCATTCAGGCTTGCGTCTTCATCATGGGATTCAGCGTGGTGTTGGTCTTCGGTGCCTACCAAGTGACGAGCGGCACAAAGCGTGTCGGCAGCTTCGTCACTCTGATGACATACCTCAACCAGCTGCAGCAGCCTCTCAACATCTTTGGCTCGTTCTATAGGACAATCCAGCAGGCCTTGATTAGTGGCGAGCGCCTCCTGGAGCTGTTCAAGGTCAAGCCCACGGTTGTTGACATGGAGCACGCGAAGCCGTTGACGGAGTGTAAGGGACACATCCGGTGGAAGAATGTCGCATTCAACTACGACTCCAAGAGCAAGGCTCTGAAGGATCTCGACTTCGAATGCAAGCCCGGCACCACAACCGCGTTCGTTGGAGAATCTGGAGGCGGCAAATCGACCGTTTTCCGCCTGATGTTCCGGTACTACAACACTACTTCGGGAAGCATCGAGATTGACGGCCAAGATGTCAAGGACCTTACTATTGATTCGGTCAGGAAGTTCATCGGAGTTGTCCCTCAAGACACAACGCTCTTCAATGAGTCGCTCATGTACAACCTCAAGTATGCCAGGGAGGGTGTCACAGACGATGAAGTCTACGACGCCTGCAGGGCAGCCAGCATCCACGATCGGATCATGTCCTTCCCTGATCAGTACAACACCAAGGTTGGCGAGCGCGGCCTGAAGCTGAGCGGTGGTGAAAGGCAGCGAGTTGCAATTGCGCGAACCATTATCAAGGATCCCAAGATCATCATGCTGGACGAAGCCACTTCAGCTCTCGACGCGCATACCGAACAGCAGATCCAGGACAAACTTGGACACTTGGGCCAGGGCCGGACACTTCTAATCATAGCGTGAGTTTGAGTCCCTTTGTTACTGAACCGAATCTTGCCGGGTTCTCATGCTAACATGTGAAACAGGCACCGCTTGTCCACAATCACACATGCTGACCAGATCATTGTTCTCAACAATGGCACCATCGCTGAGAAGGGTACCCATGAGGAACTTGTTAACGCCAACGGACGGTACGCTTCGATGTGGGAGAAGCAAGTGCAGGCCGAACGCGCTGCTGAGAAGGCTCGCGCTGCCAATAGGAAGGCACAGAAGCTTCTTAAGAAGGCCCAGTTCCCCAGGGCTAAGAAGCAAACGGACGGACACTCAGACGGTGGTTACACTAGCCTTGACTCATCGACGATCCTGCCCGGCAGCTCCGGTGCCAACTCGAAGGCGAACACAACTGGTGACGATTCTAGTAGTGCAGCAAGCAGCAGTTCTGACGCCGATTCGATACGCAGTGATCACCACGACTCGGATCACTCAGAGCATCATGAGCGAAACTAGACATTACATCAACAACTTTCCGAAACATGTTACACAGCATGACTCAACAGGGCAAACAGACTTCAAGAAGCCCTCGACGTTTGGATCAACGTCATCTACCAACCCCCCTACTCATACCACACCTTAATATGCGGTCACTCCATCCAGTATCGCACATTTTCATTCACGAATACAACGAAGGCACGCGCCTTTTACGAACCAGGTACCACGGATTAACGGCTTAAGAATGCATCATACCGGCGACTCGGAGTTTGGAGTTCACAAATACACTTCTTTTCCCCTCCTCTTCATCATCGAGACCCCGAAAACGAAAAAGGGACTTTCACGAGTAATTCAAAAACGGTGGCCTTGAGAAACGGTCTCTCGGCCCGGCTCGGTTGGTTGGCAAGGGGAATCATCTCAAAAACAACTTCTCTCTTTCGGATACATCATATCCAGCCTTCGATTCATAGTATGTCTTTCCACGCGCGAATCGTCTTTCTAGCCGGACACTACATTTCTCGTTCAACATCGTCATCGTCATCCAGGGAGGGGACGGTCTCCCCTTAATCATGGGATTACACTACACATTCAAGAATTGCTTTCGAGTATTACAGAGTCGTCACCTGCTACCATGGGCAGGCTGTTCGGCAATGCAACGCGGATACCACAGTCTTACATACCGGGATTGGTCCTTTTTTTTTCGATTTGACGGTTGGTGGGAGGGTTGGATTTCGGGAAAGGCTTTGGTGAGCCTTTCGGAAGGGGGGTCCACGGAACGGAGGCAGGTTTTGCATTGGCATTGTTAAAATCCCACGCGGACAAGCGATGGGTGCAGCCGGATAGCGGAGGGTCTTCCTGGGTAGAAACGGGCCATTTCCTACATGGAGGAGGACTGTTTCTGACGCAGGATGACAAGCCAATCTTGGTCTGCTTTGCTTCTATTTCAATTTTTTTTTTGGGCCGGGTTGGGCATACAAAGAGAAACTGGACGGACAGACATTCTCAGCATTGTGTTTTTTTGGGCTGGCTACAGATCAGCTTCGCAGCGGTTAGGGTTCATAGAAGGTATCCCTCTCGGCAGATTCGAGAGATCAGAATTGCTTATGCCTAGCGAAAACAGGCATCTTACTTCAAAACGTCATTCAGTCGCCGTGATCTCGTGTGTCGTGTCGTATTTGGTGACGAGCCGGGTACATCTTGGGAACGGCCTAGGAAGTAATACAACACCAAGATTTCGGTGTGCCACTCACGACAAATATACGTTACATCTGGCAATATGTAGATATTACTCCAGTGGTATTGTGAGCGAACAAGCAGAGAACAACGTACACTTTCTTCATTCTCTGGGCCCGAAATTTGGCTCCCGAAACGCCAGAACCCGACTCCGAGGTCAGCCTCCGTCTATAGTCAAATCACCGCCGCTTCCACCCGTGTTTTCACGTTTCTGTCCTCATCCATGCTTTCCTCGTATCGCAACCGGGGAAGAGGGTGGTGCCTCGCTCTCAGCAACGCCACCATCTTCTTCCACCGCCCTTTTTCGCACCCCCAGGATTCCGATCAGATCGTCCGTCATGAGGTTGCATTGTGCGAGATCGAGACTCAGATGTCGTGAGCATGGGAATGTGATAGATGAGCATGTTTTCAGCAGAAGCGCGCACGCGCGGGCGCAAGCGGTGTGGCAGGCAGGTTTGGCCGAGTCGCGCGGAGGGAGGGTGCGCCGTCAACGACCACGGACGCACACCTGTCTCAGTTCCTCCACCTCCGCACCACCCACCACCACCGAGGGAGGTTCTCCTTGGCACACACACCCACACTGCCACTCAGCCACAGTCTTGCCTGGCACCCAACCACGTAATACGGATTATCCGCGAGTAGCCGCCGGTCATCTCTGTCATTGCCTGGCGGCTGTCTTTTGACTATTCCTGCTCTTGTGGGAAATGGCATGGATCCGATGGAATTCCCGTGGGTTCTCGTGAGTCCGGGTCTCATGGTGTGCTTCGGCAACAAATGACTCTTGAAATCGTTTCGGGTGTATTAATAGTCAGTGCGGCTGGGCTGCGCAATCCCGAACGCTCTGCACCTCATGTTTCGGCGGTCGATAATTAACCCGCTTTTTCAAGCTCGAGAAGGTTGAGTGATCATGTTACTCCGATCTGTTGGACGGTCGCCTGATGAGTCGTTGATGTACTCCGCTTCCTCGTCTCCTTTATGCTGATCCATCTGTAGCCGCGGGACGTGACGATGCTCATATACAAGCGAATGATTTCATAAACCAGAAACACCGAACATCATGCTTTCGTCTTGATCCTTCCGTGAAGGGTCTTCTATCTCGCGCGACCGTTGACGGCTCTAGCTTTTGCTGCCGCACTGGTGCTTGCGCCCGTCGTGTGACCGTTGGTCACCTCCGCAGGCAGGGCCTTCTGCTGAGTTTCGTCCTCGGCGTCCGTGCCCTCGGCTTCGCTGCGGTCATCCTCTGCAATGTCGTAGGCGAGGAAGCGGTATGCGATTCGGAAAATGTGGAAGAGCCAGAAGAGATTCAGGGCTTGTAGACAACCCAAAAGACCAAGGGTGATGTACTGTGACAGTGTGCACTTGTACTGCTGGGTCGCCCAGTTGAGCTCAAAGGGTCCGACGGTGGTATACTCTGTGAAGAGCGATAGGATGATCTTGAGGTTGATGTAGTGACGCAGATAAATCCATACGCTGACGAAGAAGAAAAAGTACGGTGCTACAATCGGTGAGTCGATATAGTTGAGTGTCTTGGACGTCTATCTTTACGTTAACGAACGAATTCTTTTCCAAATACGATACATTATGCTTCGCAGCGTGGTCAAGACTTACAGCGAGAAAGAAGTCACTAATATCATGGGTCGTGTAGACTGCAAGACCCATGTACGTGAAGTGAAAGCGGTAGCTGAGGGCAATCAGAGCAAGACTGACGATGTGATGGCCCACGAGTTCCTTGAAATCCTTGCGAGGCTTTTCCAAACCAAGCAACAGGACCAGAGCCTGTTGTGCCCAGTACGCAGCCTGGAAGAGATAGTAGAACTTGAAGCCGGCCTCGTGTGTCATGTGAGGAAAGTCCTCATACATGCCACGGGTACTGAAGTACCAAACAGGCGTCTTGCTCATGACGTACAGACCAGCAGGACCTAGACAGGCGAAGTAAATGGCCGTATACATCTGTTCCATAAACCGAGCCTGCTTCCCACGAGATCGCAAACCAGCGGCACGAGCGAGTGGTCGCAGGAATTCCTGCATTATGAACTCACGAGTAAACGTGAGAACAATGGTGTAGAATGCCACGAAGGCTATGTCCCAAAGGCCCTTTCCATACTGGGTGGGCGCATCGGGTTTGGCGGGGTCGGGAGGTAGGCGGTAGGAGAGGAAAATGAAGCGAGAGATTGGGTTCGATTCGGTCGGGTTCACGGCATAGAGGCCGGCGACGACGGCGATGACGGCGGCGGGCACGAGATACGTGTGTTTGATCATGGCCTGACGGAAACGATAGAAGAAGCCGCGGGCACGCCGGCGTTTTGAGATTCGTTTGGTAGGACTGGACTAGAAAGAGACAGTTTGTTAGTCGTGTATGGACGGATTGCTGAAAGAAGTTGGAAGACGTAGGCCGCATCTGAAGTGGAAAATCTCTCCCAAGGAGAGAAAAGAGATATAATGGAAGACAGAAGGTTCATTAGGGCAAAGACGGAAGGGTTCTTACGGGCGGAATAGGGCTGTCGCCGGCCGTATAAGTTGCGAGTGCAGGGCCTGTGTCACCGGCACGTATGTCCTGGCCCAAGGCGCTAGACTTTCGACGTCGTGTGCTGCGGGAGTTTGAAGAGGAAGCGTGGTGTTCGACAGCCGAGTGTAAGTGGTCGACAGATGTGTTGAGGAGAGGAAATGGTTCGGAGTCGGCCATTGTCGCGACAGCCACGGATTGGGACGGCGTTTCGGTTCGTTTAAAGGGCTGGCGGGCAGGAGACACAGCTGGCCGACCGTGCTGGCCTCGAGGGAGAGGCGCGGGAAGGGGTGGACAGGGTCGGTCGCAGAATCGCAAGTTCGGTACCTCGAGGTAAGGTAGGAGACGGTACGGTAGGTAGGGCGACGACGGGTTTGAGTTTTGGTGGGCTATTGGCGAGTGCGGAGGAAGAGGACCGGATAACGTGGTTGCAGGTCGAAAAGGAGGTCCTGGTTATTTAGACGTCGAGATGGTCAGGGGGGTTCGTTGTCGATCATGTATCCGTAAAAAAGGCAGGGCGAAAGGCGGAAGGCGGTCGGCGGGTCTGTGGAGCAGGCAGCTGCTACTTGCTCACTAAGTAAGGTAAGGCACTGAGCGAACAAGTTGCGAGCGCTGCAATGGAACAGTGAACGATGCTTCAGTCGATACGGCGTGGTCCAAGTCCGTCTCAAGGGTGCTCCCTGAAGTTGCTTTGTTTCGTCGTCGGATTCGTCTGACCGTTGACCAGTCGTCCGTATTTCCTTTTCCTCCTGGGCCCCTTGCCAACGGGGTCAGAGCGAGAACTTCCTGCGTCGGCAAGAAAAAGAGGTCAGGAGGTTCGTTGCCAATGCTGTTGCTGAATAAGAATTGAAAAAAGGATGTAGACCAGAGGGAGGCATAGGAAACGTCTGAAATTAAACAAACAAAAAAAAAATCGACAGAAAAGAAATGATAGATCGCGACAAGAGGAGCCGGACCAACCAAATTGCACGGAGCCGGGTTGGAGGTCCATCTGCCGGTTAGCTCACCTTTACTACGTACCTTACTACTCTGTATTCCCTTACCTTCGGTCACTTCGCGGGGCAGCCCCATGGTAGCCCCATCGCACCCGTGGCTGACCCCTGCCTAAAACCAACCTCATCTTGCATCACATCGCTCCTCACATGCACCTGCACCGAAATGATGCACTGTCCATCTTTGGTGCTTTGGCTGCGCTGTACCTGCGTGTTTTGTGTTACCACCTTCCTCCTAGAGGCGAGTGTGGTATGATGAAAATTCGGAAACTCTGAGTGAACTCTTGCCGTCTTACCTACCCAGCTTAGTGTAGACATGTTTCTGGAACGTTGGAAGCAGTCCACGAGATATTTGCTATCTGTCTTGTCCCGCATTCTTACGACTCCACATCCATCCAACGTGCAGGACACTACCGCTGGCTGCAGCCACAACGTCGACGATTCCACCGGGACCACCCCTCCTCAACGGCCAACATGGCATTGCATCCCTCGACTTTGCTGCCCGAATGACATACCCACAGAGATGTCCCTGGTTGTTGTATGGGTTTCACAAAGCTCAATTGCGTCTGGCCCTGCTTGTGTATCCACCGAAAGCTGAGCTGGCAGCTTTGCTAACGAGTCAAGCCCGCCCCGCGATCGGGATCGAGATCGGAATCAGGAAAACCCATTCCACTATTTACGACGGCCTCTAATGCTATACCTGAAGTATCGATGCCCAAGCCCAAATGATCCTTCGTCGGACGAGTCCATATTACGCGGGGTCACAAACATCTTGTAGATTATCGAGCCTAAACATATCGTACGAATGGACAACAATCAAGAAGCCTCACTCAGGAGCCTCGTTCTCAAGAATTGCATCTACCGCGCAAGCCATCACCTTCACAACATCCAAGGCCACCGATTGGGGATCGGCATCAGCTCCGGTCTCTAACTTGCTTCCAATCCCCGTTTTCTGCCGATGTCAAACCTCCGGTCAGTCGTTCCCCGAGACATGCCAACCAAGTCAGAGCTTCGCAGCGTACCAGCATAATCCAATCCAGACCACCACACCCTCAACTGCTAGGGTTGCATTACAACATCACCAGCTTCGTGAGCACTGCATCTCGACCCAATCTGCTTAATCTAAACAGCCATCGCACCGTCATATACTCACGGCATCCACTGCAGCACTAGCAACGTGGTTCTCATTGCCACTCCAGCTTAACAAACAGCATGCATGTGAGTTGTTCTTAGGTTGGTACTCTACCGAAGTTGTCTCTCTTGCAGCAACAAGGTGAAGACATCTCTTATCTCAACCTCGGACGTCAGTCCCGTATCAACCCCACCAAACGAACAACCGCTAGCAACCTCCCCACAACACGCCTCTCACATGCAAACCTCCCGCCTCCCGCCCCACTAGCGCTGTAGTGTGAGCCTTTCCCGACTGCCTGGTCGGTCGTTTCTTCCCAAAACACATGTCGTCACCGAAGATCAGGGTCCGCCATCCAGCGATATGCCCATCGCAGCCACTTCTTCTAACCCAATGTTTTTCTAGATACCTAACTCCGGGCGTGCAGTCACCGCACCCGACAATTCCGGCCCCGGCAGTTCCGCGATTCATGTCTGGCCCCGTTAATCCCGACAACCCGGGAACACGCACGCCGCCAAACCCGTTTCCGGATTCCTCGGGGCACAGTAAGCCAGACACGGTCTTACCCATCGCTTACACTCAATCACAACTTTCCTTTGGTTCTCTCGGTCGCTGGTGGATGGCTTGCCATCACTCACGTCAGCAAACATAAAATTCCGCCTCGCGGACGCAACGGAGTATGAACAACTATCCCTCCCGACTCCGTGCTCGATTACTTAACATCCGAACGCCCCGTCATCACCGGCCGCAGTTGCGGCATACGCGACCGGACTCCACCAAAATTGCGCGCGCAGACGCCATCCAGCCACCTTCAGGCAATTAGGGGTGCCCGGCAAGATGGAGCAAAACGAAATGACTTTTCAGCTTGCCCGCGCCTCGTCGAAATAACGCCCAAAGACCAATCCGCCAAGAGGCCAAGCCCAGCAGACGAAATACCCTTCTTCACAGCCTCCCACAACAATCAAACTTCTCGTCTTCGGTCCCTTGAACCGAAAGAAACCCACGTCGTCCCAACCTGTTTGGCCGAGACCGATCAAAATCTGCTAATCTATCTCGACAAGATGTGTCCCTCCCACGCTGTCAACCTCGGATCAACCCTCCGTAACCTTGGCGAGCCTCACATTTGGCCCTTGGCGCAAAAGTCGGAAAGGGGTGTTGAAGGAAAAAAGCAAAAGTAGCCTCTGCTCCACAAAGCTTGTCCGACGTCCCAAGCCAAGAGGCGGTGGACGTAGCAATGTAGCAAGGGGAACCAAAAGGTGAATCGTACTCAATTCTTCAATGTAACGGCTAACGCAGCTTGGCCCAGCCCCCTATGGCGCCAAGCATGCCGCGTCGCGGGCGCTGAGTCGGGTGCTGCTGCTGCTGCTGCTGCTGCTGCTGCGCGCGTCTCCGCAAAATTATTTGTACCTTCTGAGAGAAAGCTCTGGTCAGTAAGTGTCGACATGAGCGCGCGCGGCGACGGCAGCAACGGTGGTTGAGTCCTTTGTCGTTTGCCCTGAAGATCTCCGTGTTTCGTTGCAGTGGTGTTGAAGGTGTGAGACAAGACGAACGTACGTCACCATCTTGCGCAACGCGTCAGTCGCCGGAGGCTGTGCTGCGCTCTGCTGTGCTGTAGTAATGAGTTCGTCGACCCTGGCAAAGACGGACAGTCGGGTGTAGGGAAGAAGTTTGCCCAGACAAGCTTGTGCAGGACACTCGATACTCCATTATTCGTTAGTGAGGTGTAAGGAATGGACGTGTTGGTGGCATGCTCCGTCGAAAATTGAGGTTTACATCGTGGGAGAGTGCTGGACGCGGAGTATTTACGTTATCTGTGTATCACCATGTCACGGTATGGAGTCGAAGTGAAGTAATGTTAACTGATTTGAATTCATTTCGTTGACGCGACTGTCGCTTGTCTTCCTCTCACCAACCTCATGCGTCCCCCTAGACAGCCCTACGTGGTATCTTTCCCCAACAATCCTCCTCCTCCTCTTCCCGAGCCCGGAAGCTCGAACTGTCACGTCCCCTAGCATGAGGCCCTATCAATTTCCAGCGCGCAAGTTGCTTTGCTCGCAGCCAAACTCGGAGCACGAGTCGGCACCTATCCAATCGCCGTAAAAGGTCAAAACATCTTCAACGCCTCTTCTCCAAGCCTGCTTCGCCGGCTAGGCTTTCCCGTAAGCCTCCAACATGTACAATCGGGTGCCCGTGTGTGGACCCCGCCATTATTCGCGGTAGTTCGTATGTTTTTTGGTGTTCCCCAGTCCCCTCGAGGCGTCTCCCCATATACACATCGAACACGTTCCATGTACTCCGCAATATACACCTTGTAAATTCAAAAGATATTGGCTCGTTCCGGAGCCGTCCGTTTTTTCCCCCGTGATGATGCGCCTTAGTGATGCGAAAGAGTAAAAAGCCACAGCGCCGCGCTTGTCGTAATCGAAACAGAAGTAGTCAGAAGCTCGGGAGGTTGCCCCGTCATGGAGTAGGCGGCGGTCCTAGGTCATCACCAGGCCGCCTGCTCTGAGGCACGCTGGGTGATCGCTCGTCGTACTCTTGATGTTGCGGGCGAACTCCTGGCCACAGGGGCGGTCGACTGGCTTGCTCGGGAGAGAGGTGTGAGAAGTTGCTTGCCGTCCTTCCGAGTGCTGGAGGGTGAGCCGATAGCGCGGCTGCTGGGGTCGGAGTGAGTGCGGAGGCGTCGCTGGCGGTTCTGATCAACGCCGTGCGTTCGGGCGATTCCTGACCGCGCTCCTCCTCCATAAGCTGTGCGAGAGCGGCGCCTTGCCTCGGCGGTGCTGGGATGACGGTGACCGGTAAGCTATCCGTCTCTGGCGTAGGACGCATCTTTTCTCTGATCTTCTCGGCCTGGGTTGCTGCAAAGTCTTCCAAGCGAGCCTTGAAGTCCCATCTTCCAGCATCGTCGTGACCTCCACGCATCTCCTGTTTCTCCTCACTCTGAGCCATCACTTCGGCCGGGGGGTCGCGTGCATTTCGTCGGAATACCAAGGACCTCCAACCCTTCTTGTTCTGCATCGCCGGATCCTCCTGTGCCTCTGTGTCGATTTCCACGGCCTTGTGAGTAGCTTGTCGAGGCACCGGGGCTGCCATGGACATTTCGTCATTGTCGGAGCTCGAGTCGCTTCTTGATGATGAAGAACTGCTCCTCGACATGGCCACTGCGGTATTGCGCTGCGGCATGGTCTGTGTGCCATGTTGACCGGCGGCTTCCGGTGTTCTCGACGTTGTTTCTGACGGCAGTTGATACCGTACGGCGTAAACAGTGCTTGCTGCGCTGGCGGTATCAGTCCGGCTCACAGGCGTAACAGCAGGAGCCGGTCGCGAGGGCCACATAGGCGGACGCAGCAAGCCTCCCATGGACCTTTGGCCAGTCTGGGCGTTGTTGGTGGCAGAGTTAGCATGGCTGTGGTTGGCTCGATATCTGTTGGCAATGTTTGACATGCCGGGCCAAAGGTTACTTCTGCCACTCGATGGTGGACCTTGAGCGCCAGCACCACCTGCAGGGCCGTCCTGGTCGCCTTCTCCATCCCTGGGACCGCCACGATTCTTCCTCCGCCTAAGCCAGGGGAACTCCGAGGCGGACACTTCCAGCATCTCGTCTCCGTCGAAAATTTCGCGTCCGAGAATGCCATCCTTCTTCTCTTCTCTTTCTAGTGCCTCGATCCTTTCCACCCATTCCCAGACTACCACGCTGGCACCTGCGGCACCGACCCAGCGGACGTAGTCTCCCCATCCGGTGAATTCGGGCTTCGCCATATCCAGCACGAAGAAAACAACCGGGACGAGGATGGCGAAGAGGGAAAGAGTGGAGACCAAGATCATGTTCTTCATCAAGGGGTGGTAAAAGGCGTAACGCTTCTTCATAAGCGAGTAGTAAATGACCCACGCGGCGTATAAGAGGCCGAGTGAGAGCTGAAATAGGTAGCTGAGAGCGGGAACGGCGTCGACGAAACTTCGAGGGCGGGCGTTTCCCTGGCTCCCGCTGGCGGGGTACTGGAAACTGTTCAGGGCGCTGAAGATGAGATTCAGGGTAATCAGCGCGAAGGCGGTCCACTTGATGATAACCTTTTCCCGCTGACGTGGGAAGAGTCGGGTCAAGGTTTGGGCTTGCGCCAGCCACAAAAACGTGTCGGAAATGAGGCGGATGACCTTCAACTCGGTACCGTCCATGACCTCCAACTGCATCTTCTTGGCATCCTGGATTGCCCATTGATATTGCTCTTCGGCGACTTTGAAGGTATCAGCGCTGGCGATTGTGAGAGAGATGGCCACCGTCACGGCAGCCACTTTTTGGAGCCACGGACGGCCGCCGATACTGATTCCATTCGTGGTGCCTCCGCTGGTGAAGCCGCGTCGGCCCAGGTAAACGATTCCACCGTCGAGAAAAGATCGCGGCGTAATAAACAGCATAATGACGAGCATGTAGGCCGTCACGGTCGTCGCGGCCAGGGCGTAGCAGACGGGGAAAATGGAGGCGTAGAAGGGATCGCGTAAATCCGTGTATTGTACCGTGCCGCCGGACGCGGTTTCTTCGTAGTTGATTCCATTGTTGGCGATGATGATGGGTGCAGCAGTCACGAATTTGACGGCGGCAGCCCCCAAAGAGGGCAGAGGACTCGCCGCTGGTGCAACGAGGTCCTCCATTGTCGCGGCGCCGACTCGTCGAATGCTTGTCGATGAGGAACTGAGCGGCCAGCCGCAGGCGAGGATCTAGAGAGGTTTCCTCCTATACGCGAACACTCGCCATCGAATGAACCATGCAGTCGTCGAGGGTTTCGCGGAGTCGATTGATGGTAGAGGGTATTTGTCGTCGGGGGGGAGACGCGAAGGTCAGTCGTGGGCTCGGTCGGGCGGACGGCTGCAGCGAGAGTCGAGGACACACGAGTCCGGGCGTTCCAGTTCCAAGTTTCCACACACAAAGTCGTTAGAGAATCGATCGGTGATTCGGTGGTCGAAGCATCGGTTAAGCGAAAGCCTCGAGGAGTAATAGCGAAAGCAGCGATTTCAGGTCGCAGTCGAATTGTCAATAAAACGGGTCGAAGTAGAAGTCGTCAGTTGCCACACACTGCACAGGAGGAAAAGGTTCCAAGAAGGCTTGCGTGTGGGGGATGTGGGAGCGATCGCAGGCTGGGCGCCGAGAGATTCTTGTGGGAGAGTTGAGGGAATGGGGAAAGAGGGAGGGCGAGAAAGGGAGGGCCGGGGGGTTTGAACGGGCGAGCGAGCGCTATTTCGGGGGGCTACGGAAGCAAGTCACGATGGGGAGTGGCGCCCTGTATTCTTGTTGCGCTTTGTTGAAATTGGTGGCCAGATCTGGCTCTTTTTGCTCGCGGTGGAGTCGTAGACCGTCTCGAAAGTGTTTTGGAATAGCAGTTCGGGGGGGAGCGGATGGATATGGGAGAAGGGGGAGGAACGACACGACAGTGGACGGTTGTGCTGGTGCTGATGCTGGTGCTGGTGCTGCCCGGTGCCGGTCCTGGATTCCTGGTACAGCCCGGTGCTGGCGTTGGTGCTGGCGTGTCGTAGTGGTGGTCTGCCTGAGCAGGGGCGTGAGGCGCGAAACTGGCAAAGGATCTCACACTGTCCTTTAGACGACATGACACGGTGATGAGCATAGTGCGAGACTTTAGATCCACCCCTACATCTCCACTCGCCTACCGTGCAATATGCAGGAGTCAACGGTGTGGGATGCTACCGGATACGAGTCGGGCAGCTGAGAACGGCACGCTGTTTCTGTGGCGAGATTGCAGAGGAGACGGGTAGCTCCCATCGTGGATGCACAGTTTACATGCCGGCCGCACCGTATAGTACCGAGTCAAAGGAACTGGCCGTTCAAGCACTCGCGATCGTGTACTGACAGCTTGGCGGACCCGAGAGAACTGAGAGCCATCTGGCTGTACAATCCTACGAATTGTCCTCGTCGTTGCGATGGGACAACGCCGTGAATTCATAGCCTTGAATATCTCTCCGTAACTCTCGATCTTTGCCGCGGTTCATCGTCGATTCTGCGAGATGATACAGACCATAACTGGAGGGATGATGCGCGTAACAGAGTGCGAGGCGGGCAACTGCAACATTCCCGCCGGGGTAAGGTTGCGAGAATTGATTGACTTGTTCTCTCTTTCGTGCATGAGAACTGCAGCAATGAGACGGACAGCAGATGGATTTTCAAGTCCGCTCGGCGCTTGCCCTGTGATCTTCCATCAGACGTAAGACGTGAGGAGGGCAGCTATTCAGTCCACAGAGATGGCTCAGTATTTCTGTGATCAGTATCCGTAAGTTCAGCAAACGGACAGCGCTGTGAATACTGGCAATCAACTGCGCCCATACCTTACTGCTTCTTCAGCGGCAGCACATCCGCAATGGCTTATCTAAGATGGCTGAGTGACGTTCCGAGAAGAGATGAGACACTGTACGCCCGACGCTACTGGGCTCGTCACCTTGCATGGTCTTCCCAGCCGTTAGTAAGACGGTTAGCGGTTCGAGAGCGTCCGTACAGACGGTGTCCTGGCACCTGGCACCTGGCACTTGGGTGTGCTAAGCCTCCCCGCCTCGAGGGAAACACCCTGAAACGAAGACGGACGGCCTTTGCTGATCAAGGACAGAATTCAGATGGCTACCCAGCCGTCCCTTGTTCGGAGCGTTTTGTCTTGGCTCTTGAAACACGGGAGCAAAGGAAAGTTGCGACTCTACCCTTTGTCAGCGTCGTCTTCCCCTCAGTTTCCCCTGTTGATGTTGTCGTCGTCGGATCGATTCCCTCGAGTGCTCGAGTAGAGACGTCATGGTGTAGGACAAGGTCTCGATAACGAGAGCTTGTGTGCGGGAGAAGAACAGAAGTCAACCCATCATCAATCGTGGCTTTGCAACTCTAACTGACGATGCGTGCCTGGTCAGCAGCAAAGACGGTGGAGTGGACGGAAGACGGTCTGAACCGGTAAAAGATGGACGCCATCGCCCTCGCTTCGGCGGCCAGTGGCCTGCAAGAGGAAATGATGAATGAGCTGCCGCCGAAGGATTGCACACTGTGTCAGGGGTATCAAGCACAGTGTTCGATTCCGGGCCCACCCCCATTTGTGGTGCTCCGTCGTTCGCGCGTTGGCCAATGAGGGCAGCTTTTGGATGCAGGATGGGCGTGGTTTTTGGTGGAGAAGACCACGGAGAAAGGCACCTAACGGGCTAACGCCAAAAAGTTGACGGCACCAGTTGCGGGGGGTCATTCCGGTCCAAAGGCCACCACTTAGATTGCGTCCAGATTGTCACTGCTCAACCAGGTGAGCTCTCCCGGTGCGAGGGATCCCCTCTCGGGAATTTGGGTGCTCCCACGTCCGAATGAGGGAGGAGAACGGCGATATCGAAGCCGGGGCCAACGGCAAATATTCATCGACACAGGGGTCGGTGAGAAAATTGCCGGACCCAGGTCAGTGTGTGATGTTGAAATGTCGCCTTTTTGAATGGATAGTATTTGTTGTTGGTTGTCGGAAGGTAGTGGCCGACATCAACATACTTGGCCTACGTTGTTAGACAGTCGATCTGAATAGGAGAGGAGAGGAGAGGAAAATACAGGTAAAGGACGGACAAAAAACCTGCTAAACGAATTTCAACAGAGCCAATAACCAATATCGGATTTAATGGGCTGCATCAACCCCGCAATAGATTGTGGTGTGCCGTGTGCTGTTTTTGGCTCACAGTGAGAGTTCCTGCCTTCCTGCCTCCTGATTTTTGGAGGTTCGGGAGGGGAAGGAACACACTATTGGAGGAGGAAGAAGGAGGAGGAGCACGAGCCACATCCTTCTCGCAGTTTCCCCAAGGCTCCTGCTGCTGCCCTGCACCGTGACTCCAGGTCACCACACCTGCCCGTCTTGGCTCTGTCCCTCTTGGCAAAGCTTATCACTCGTGGCTGGCCAGAATCTTGGCGATTTCCCTTCCTTCTTCATCGTTCCTTTCCTTCCTTGCTTCCTTCCCTTCCCGTCAGCTTTCCGTTTGGCTCCTCATGCCGCTGCCGTTGCCGCTTGTGCATCCGTCTTGTTGCTCCCGCTCAACCCAACTGTAAATCCGTCTTGCTTCTCCAGACGAACCACATCTGCAATCCAGCCTCACCATCACACCTCCATGACTGCATACAATCAAGTCAGGCCATACGGATACTTTCCCTTACAGTGCTGTCGCAGCTGTTCACTCCCGGTTTCCGCCATCCGCAGCCCGCCCGCTCCTCGTCTGTCACTTTCACCAACCGAGTCTCGCTGCTAGTCGTCAATGACCCCCGCGTCGTGTCAGCCCATCCTCAAAATGACAACACATGACTTAGCTGTCGCTGTCTGTCAGCTCAAGCTGAAGCGACTTGAGGCGACTTGATTAAAGTGACGCACCCGGCACCGTCTTACCTAAAACCTCCGAGCCGACACGCGACATTTACCTGCACTGGCCAGCTGCCGCCACATGCATCGTCTCGAACGGGTACTACGAAGCCAATCTTGGCCCCTACGATCGCTCTGGTAGAAAGGAGTTTCATTGTTGCCAGTTGACTGGCGGCGGTGCCGCCAGCCTGTGTCTTTCGCAATGCGCCGGCGTTGTGCCTCTTCCAAGTTCCCGGGACCTCCGTTCTTTATTCTGATCCGACATTGTGGACTTCGGTCAGTCTTTTTTGGGGTTACCTATGTCGCCGGTCCCCGGCTCCCATCGTCTCTTGGCTTCCGACAAGCTTTCGCCCGATGCCACCACCCTGCCCTTATCCGACTTGCTTCTATTCGGGGCTCAGCGAAACTCATTCGAAGAATCGCCAAGTCGGCTCCATCCGGTAAATCTCTCGTTCTCGTCTCTCGTTCTCGTGCATATCAGTTGTTCCACGTCTTTTGCCCACAGTGCTACCCAAGGAGGGGTCAGCAGACTGTTTCGATCTCCTGAACGAACGTAGAACAGGTCTAACAACCTTTGCCGAATTCAAGAACGCCCGCTCTCGCTGCCTGCCAAACTGCCGGGATTGCCTCAAATGGCGCAAGCCGGAAAAGATCTTCGCTACAAGCAGCAGGGTAAGGTTTGGTGTTGGCAAAATGATGTGGTCCAAGACAGATTTTGGTCATGATGCGGCTCTTGGCGATGCTTAGTCTACTCTAACTCGGGTTCGGATCTCAACTAGGTCTCTGGAAACACTTCTGGCACTTCTAGATCCAAACACTCTAAGCCTCCCCGACTTGAGGAATTCTCGAGATCCGAGCCAGCTCACCGTTCTCTCTGCTCTGTCAACCAACAACAGAGTTCACCAAACGTACACTAACCAACAACCTCTTGCTGCCAATCAAGGGATGGCGATGACGCAGGAGTCTCCTGATTTGGGCTTGGGCCTGCGACTACCAACTTCAATGGAGAGAAGCCACCCATTATCCTGATTGCCACGACACCATCACTTGCTGCACCTGCACGGGAGGCACACACCCTCCTGCTCCAGGTTCATTACTGAGGACAACTTTTATAGTAATCCGGTCAAAGCAGCCAGGAACCTCGCCTACCTTGCTTGCCTGCCGCGCGTCCAAGTGGGAATTCATCAAGGCCCAAGATGAACAGGGCAGCAAACAGGTCGACGATGTAGAAAGCATTGGCAGCCCTCGCCTGTGTCAATTGGTTTGGGAATTCTAGCTCTTGGTGCAGCTCTATTATGACTCGTAACTTTAGTCTTGGCGGTTTAGAGCTCCTCGAAGAAGCTCAAGTCAGACGTGTCTGAAGATGGTTGAAACCACAACCAGACGCTTCAGTATTTGCCCAGCCAAGTCTGCAGAGCTCAAACACCAGCCCGAAGACGAAGGTCTGGTAACACCGACTGAACCAACTCGCTTCGTCTGCTCGCGTCCAGCCAGCATCGTGATTGTCCTATCCAAAGCGTCGTGATTCTTGCAAAGAGAAGGCTTCGCCACCACAGGTGACGGCGCCCTTGATGATTTCAAAGTGTCCCAGGGGTATCAATTCTCCAACTTGCTCTGCATCCCAAAGACAGCCTCGTCAACCCTCCTGGTCGAAACTATCATTAAGATACCCGACGAAACTCTCCCTCATCCTGTCAGCAGCAAAGTTCCCCACGCCCTCGAGCCCGATGCCCCCGCGGTTCAGCCCGACGTAAGCCCTCCTCAGCCTCTGCAGCTGCGGCAGCCCGACCTTCCTCCCGGGCAACCGCACGACCAGATCCTCCAACCCCTCGCCGCCGCCGCCGCCGGCCCCTCGCGAGATCCGCACCTCCCCGCCCTCCTCCGCGTCGCCCTGCCCCTCCAGGATCCGCTTCACCACGTCCTGCGTCTCCCGGTCCAGCACGTACAGGTAGTCCCCGCCCGCGTCCCGGCTGCGCTGCACCGTCGCCTGGTTCGGCTTCACGGCCTTGCGCCCCGTCCCCGCGACCGCGTCCCACACGTCGTCGAACACTTTCGCCGCCTGCGCCTCGTCGTCCTCCCAGATGAGCGTGAAGAGCGGGCTGTCCCACCGCGTCATCGGATTCGGCTCCTCGTACCGGAACACGAGGTTCTCCCAGTTGTCCTTGTCGTACGGCTGTTCTTCGTCGTCGTCGTCATCGTTTTTGCCCTCGTCCTTCTGCTCCTCGCCCTCTTGATTCTCCTTCTCATTTTCCGTTCTTCGCCTCCTCTTCTCCAACCTCTCCTCGTTGATCCCCCTCGCCCTCTCCACCCCGCACCCGATCTGCACCACCACGCTCGGCGTCCTGACCGCCTTGGCCTCGCAGTGCAGCTGGTAACGCCACCCCTTGATGTAGTTGAGCCCGTCGAGGACGACGATGTCGCGGTCCGAGAGCACGCGCTTGACGGCGCCGTAGACGGCCGCGCGCGCGTCCTTCTCCGAGGCGTTGGCCGACCGCGTGTGCAGCCGCTCCTTGGCCGGGTCCAGGTCGTACACGTCGCGCGAGATGGACAGCGCCGAGTCGGATATGTAGTGCAGTCTGTATGCGGGTTGCTGCTGTTTGGAGTCGGCGGAGGCCGAGGCCGTGGCGATGCGCTTCGCGAGGTGGGCTTGGAGCTGTTTTGCGCGTGTGGTCTTGCCCGAGGTCGGGAGGCCGGAGAGGATGATTAGCTGTGGGTGATTGGGTTAGCATGTTGAAGTCATGGTGGGCTGCGTAGAGGGTTGCGTACCGGCATCTTTGCGTGTGTGTTTGGTGGCGCAAAGCTGAGGGAGTTGGTGAAGTGAAAGAGTTGACGGTAAGTGTAGCTTGGAGGGGTTTCTGGGGAATTTTCGTGATCGACTACCCCACCTACCGGATCGGGACGAATGTAGCTGGCCCAGGGATCAGGGTTCGAGAATCCAAGCTGAAAAGACGCGATGCTCCAAGATCAATGGAATGGTGCAAACCATCTTTAAATCTTCAAATTTCTCGAGTTATTATTTGGGTATCACTTTAAAGTCTCCGAGTCCCTGGTAACGCCCATTTCCAGCTTTTTCAGCGCCGTCTACATCCTCAGTCCGTCATCTCCTCGTCGGAATCGGTCTCATCGAGGCCCTCCTCATCGGTGCCGCCCATGATCTCAATGTACAACAAGATCCGCTCCCCCACCAAGTCCAGCGTCTCCGTCGCGTAGCGATCTCTGTCGCACAGCTCCTTCTGCTTCTTGCTCTTCCTGACCTTCTGACCCGAATTCCTGGTCTTCCACTTCCTCGCCTCGACGCCCACCTGAGCAGCCGCGCGGAGCTTGTCCCTAGAATTCCTGATCTCGTCCGGCGGGATCTTGTACAGCAGGTTCTCCAGGATCAGGGCCAGCCGAACGTTCTCCTGGATCGCGCTGGTGTCGGCTGGGTGCGGCAGGTAGCAGAGCTCGAGCACCTCGGCGGTGACCTTCATGCCGTTTTCACTCGACGCGACGTTGCCGGGTTCCATGTACGACCTAGGTAGAAGGCAATCCAGCTCGTGCAGTAGAATGTCGATTCTGAAAGCGTCGTCGAGGTGAGTGCCCATGTCGGAGATGAATTGTTGGAAAAAGGGGAGGGGCGTCGTTTGTCTCAGCAGCGTGCAGAGCTCTTTGACGTAATCGTCGTGTTTCTGGAAGAAATCCTTCGGTATCTCCATGGAAACTTTGGCGAGGAGATTGAACAGACGCAAGCGCAGTGGTATTGACTCCGCGACGTCGGAAGTGACGGGGTTGCCTGCCTTGCGCGACGGTGTGCGCGGGGTAGCGGGCGTGTTGGGCGTTCCGGGCTGCGACTCTGGCTCCGACTCGACCAGGTCGTCGTCGAAGTAGTCCCCGAACTGGTCATTGTCGATGTCTAGGGTGATCATCCTCCTGCGTTTCGTGTCCTCGCTCGGGAGCCCTTTGGTCTCTTTGTTGAAGATCTCGGGGAACGCGGCCAGGGACTTTGAGTACCCGTCCGCGAGAACGGCTTGCAGGATCGTCTTCAAGCCCTGCCGATTGTATTGGGCCCTCTGCTTGATGTACGTGACAATCATGGCCTCCCGCCTGTTCTCCACTGCCGCCTTCTTCCGGTCAGGAGTCTGCGCCGCTTCGTCCATCCGCTTTCGCTCTTCGTAGTCGGCGTCGAGGACCTCGAGCATGAACTCCAGCCAGGTCTTCCAGAAGCGCCACCGGTGAGGGTGCGCGCTGCTGCAGTTGAACGCCCAGCCCACTACCGCCCAGAAGTCGGGCGCGCGGTGCCATATGCTGTCCTCGACGGCCATCTTGTTGCTTATCTGGTCGCCATCGATCTCGTCATCGTCCTCTTCGACGTAGCGGTTTCGGCCGCGGCCAGCGCCCCCGTAGAACTGGAAAGCGTTTTGGAAGCCCGCATTGATGGGCCCGGCAATGGCGAGGAGGTTACGGAGGTAGTCGAGCGCCTGTGAGCCGACCTCGAGGCGGTCAGCGCCGGCGGCGCGGGTGGTTGAGCTCGGGTGGATGATGAGGGTATTGAGGAGGGCGAGGTGCGTTGGCGGGGGGACTTGTGCATTCGTCTTGGTGACGTCTTTTCGTGAGTAGCCGGAGGTCAGGAGGCTGTTGAGGAGACCGAGGGCGCCATTGTCTGGAAGGACTCGTCAGCTTCGAGAAGAAGAGAATGTGGGACCTGGCAGGCAAACGCACACAGGTGCTCTTCTAGGTAGATCTGGCAATGCGCCTTCAGCTCGCGAGGAAGCTGGCTCGCCATGGAGTAGGCAAGTGGTGGAGGATCGACCTGGGCGTCCATGGCGTCGGTGCCTTCAGGCGACTGAAAAGCGGTGCGAAATGAGTCTGGCGAGGAGACGGCGGACAGCTCCGAAAGAGACGACGAAGGTACGACGGTCATGGTGGGCAACTGTGGGTTTGACGACGCGTCTGAATTGCGACGACGCGACCGGAATGCCCTGGGCGCTGTCGTCAATTAAAGTCGGAGGGTCCGCAGAGGGGCACCCTCTGGACTTTTAGAACCATAATCCCAGTCCGTCACTGGCCCGGGCGCCGATCGCAAGGATGCCTAAAGTTGTCTCAGCAGCATTAGCTGCCTGCGATCGTGGGCTATCAAGTCAAAATGCACCTCATTGCCGAGTTTCTGCCTTGATCGCATCTCTTGGTATGTCTTGAGCGGTTTTGTTCTCCGGTTCTTAGTTTGCTTGCTTGGCTGTCAGGATTGTGACATGTGAAATGCGTCCATGTCTCAGTCTCTGCATCGGCATCTTGTGCCTGTCAACCACATCTTCTTCACGACAATCAGTCACGCTCTATGATCACATTCTGTTTAATGAGGTTTAATGAATTGTAATATTTGATAGTGATAGTGAGAAAATGATATTATAGTTTCCCTCTAAGCCTCGTTTGAATCTCACTCGCTTGAAGTATCCCGGTATTGAGCGGCGTCCCATCGTGTCGCCTATCCTACAGTCTGTCCTCCCCATCTGGCTTAGATACCCGCTGCTGCGCCTTGTCGCGTTCCGAATTAAAGGCTTCGCGCACCCCAGACTGTCCAAGTTAGCCTCGTGTCAGATGAGAAGTCGAACAATGTAGATTTCGGCCGAGGCGATGCGCGAACCGAATCAAAGTGGAAATGTAACTTACAAGGATCGAGGGGGGCCGAGGGGACTTCTGGCTTGGGTTGGCTCTCTCCTCCGCTGGGAGTCTTGACGATGTGCTCCGGCTTGGCAATCATCGCCGTTTGAAGGTGGGAAGATGCGGTTTGCAATGTGCAAGATGCGTCCAAGATTGCCGATTTCTCGGGAGATGGTGCCTTATGAGGAGGTTTTCTTTTGAAGTAGGTAGGTAGTGTAGTTGGTTTGGTAAACTTAGGCAGCCGGTGGTGGGGCAGGATCTGAGGGTGTGCAGGCCAAGAATGGTATGAATGGGTGTATGAGAGGTGAGTGAGTTGGTGTCGTGATGATCCGGGGACAGAACTGGTAAATGTGCAAGTTCTCAGGCAGAATATAAATGTTTTCCATCGACTTAGGCACGAGGGATATCGACGGTCGAGTGTATCCCGAAGTAAAGCGACAAGGGAGCTGCGATCACAAGTGGAAGAAGTCTAGTGAGCAACAATCTTTCACAGCCAAGCATAGCAGAGTATCGCAATTGCGGATATCAAGCGTGAAGTTCCAGATCGGGAGTCATACTCGTCGAAACAATCCCTGGAAACGCGCCGTTGAGAAACAAAACCACGCCGTCTGATTCGATGGATTTGCGGACCACCGCCGGCTGAGGAACGTAACGTCGCCTTGTCACCCGCGAAATGTTTTACAGATGGCGGGTGCTGTAAGGCAGAAGAGCTCATGTTCCGGGGTTCTTTTAGGCAGACGCTGGACCTGACACAGGTGAGTGAGTTGGTGAGTTGGTGCCAGGTTCAGGTTTGCGGTCGATACACTGGTCGCTCCCCTGTGGGTGACTCGCGATCATCCCTGCCGCATGCGCATTCCCGAGCTGCCGGCTGGGACACATCATATCTGCTTGTCGTAGGTAACTCGCAATTGCGTAGGCCTGGCGAAAGCAGAGCCGCAAAAGCAATTTTCGCAGTAGAGGGAATGCAAATAGCATCCGCATTTTGACTTGCCTTCCTAGCATCTTTCTACCTACTCTAAGCAGCATCACGGCAGACAAGTTAAAGATGGAGGTGATGGTTTCGATTCCGTAGAGAATACTGCGTTGGCAAAGACTTCAACCCCATAACTTCACACTCAGATTCAGCAGGAATCGAGTTTCAAGTCTTCGGGTTGCCCTTAGAGTAATTCGAACACCTGAAGCACGAACTTCTCCAAAGGGCCCAAAAGGCCCAAAAGGCCCAAAAGGCTCAAACGGAGGATAGAAATATGCCACGGATCTCTTTTTCTCTGGTGATACGATCAATATATTTAGTCATCTAGAAACGATAAGATTTCCACACGAACTCATGCTTGATACTCTGGGACTTGTCACAAAAAATATAGCGCAGGGCGGCTGCAGGTCGGAGCCGCCAGCTGGGCCCAGTAGGACCTCGCGGGAGAAAATGAAAGAAGTGAGGCGCTTTCCAGCTTAGTAATGAGCACTCAGGTAATTGATTAACAGCCCCCTCTATTTAGAATCTCCCTACATGGGCCATTTCACAAATAATAAGGTTTTCAAATGAATACATAGTTACAGCATATATATTTTCTATTTTTCAAGTCTTTTTCAGCGGGAAAATCTGCAGAATGAAACCTATGCAAGGTGACTATCCTAGCGTGTGATAGTGTTCTACCTGCAAGGAACGTCAGAATTGAGGGCAATTTTTCCATTCCAGGCCTCCGTTCATGAACCCAACGTCAAAGCTTCACATCCAGCCTCCACTGTCAGGCAGGTGCACTCTGAGCACCCACACTCCGCATTCGCTGCAAACCACCCTGCCCGTAACGACAGCCACGAAATGAACAATTATTATTTAAGCACCCCAAACTTTTTAAAACAATTATGTTATTAGCATATTCAATTGAAAATAAATTGATTGCGACAGAAAAAGAAAATTCGTTGAATTGCTTGGATTGGGGCTTGACTGTGTTGGTGGTGGTCGGGAGAAATGCGTGGGTGGAGCCTAGACTTACACGGATCGAGAGGCGGACTCTCAGGTACGGGTTGAGGTTCCTCACCACCAAAATTTTTGGTGATGCACTCCGAAGTGAGCTTCATTATTGAATGAGTAGATAGTGTGGGCCCCGCTAGCCTAATTGAAAAGGCACGCCGAAGTTGCTGTTTACGGTCGCTGTCGTTGACCCTGCAGCTGGTACAGTTTGCGCTTCGGCCCGCTCCGAGTAAGATGAATGGTCGATAGAGTGCAGACTTCAGCTCGCCAGCAATGCAGAAATGAATGAGATTTTTACTGGGTAAGTACTCTGAGATTCAGACATAATGGAAAACAAAACAAGACAGGAAGCTCTTCTCGCCGTCGTTGGGGATGGAGAGGGTCTTATACCCGCAACTTCAACACCAGCGCAAGCATCGCCAGCATCACAGGCCAAGGGACTGCTGCATCGCATCTGATCTCCAATCAAGAACACTTCCGAAGGTGTTCTCTAGATGATCCGTGGTATACTCTCAAAGGTTTGTCGCCGCTACGGTAGATGTCCCAGGGAAAAGGAGCCGTCGCCCATGTCAACAACAATGAAGGCGAACGCAACATGATGAGCACAGTTAGAAATCAGTCCAACTATCTCATTACTTATAAAAGAGATTTCGAACTGGTCTGATGTCCCAAGGACTAGCTTCGAGGGCCACAAAGCTTCTCTTATGGACCAGGTCAGAGATGAAGAAGTCGAGCAACCTCGATGATAACCTGGCCCATCTCCTTTAACGTACGCAATCCCTTGACTAGCTCACTACCAGGTAATATACCGGTGACTCAGCTCGTATCTAGGTATGAGAGTTTTTCCGATACATACTAAAGTGCAGTGAAATCTGTCCATTCTAAATCTGGGCGAAACGTGGGTTTCCAGCCTTTAATGTTCACTTTGACCATCGCAACTATAGCCCACCCACAGCCAAATACATTCAAAACGTCGCAACGACCAAATTAAACGTTCATTATAAGCTTGAATAAATCAAAAAGTTAAAAGCGTGAGAAATCGCTTTGAATTTGGAAGATTTGTCTGCTTGTGGACTCTGGAAGTTTACACAGGTGAAAACGCTACAGGATCGCGAGAGACATTGACGAGACCAACCGACGATCATCTTAATGAAACATGATAACCTTAAATCAACGTCAAATACATGGGTAAGAAGACCCAGCAGCCCGGTCGCAGGTTCCATGCACATCAGTGTAGCGCGTCGCCTACAACCCACCTGTCTAAGTCGGCGGGGACTCTCAACCAAGGATTCGAAGTGACTCATACGCCGATGCCTGTCAAATCTCGATAAGGATTACGACAGCTTTTGAAAGTCTGCGGGACGGGCCGTTGCCATCCAACCTCTGTTCACACAGTTCACAGGAGCTTGCCCACTCTTGCCCAGACATGTGGTCTGTGAACAGCGCCCGGGTAGCTTAAACACGGAGCCCCTCGTAATCTCTGTATTGTTCTATTGGTCCGTCTAAATCAACGTCAAATTACCGCACGAACTAACTCGACGACATACATGGCTGCCTGAAACCAGCTCACGGCCGATGCAGATGCTGCACACATGCATACGAGGGGGACTACCTACATCCACCAATGGACTTACACACAAATGATGGACCGCCCTCTACTCCCCGGGCCGCAGTAATCTAACAACTTGAATTTCAACTCGTAGATAAAGTAACGGGGTCAATCTTGGCAAATCGTTGTTCAGATCACATGGCAGTGCTGCCACTCTCGCCACGGTTGTTACCCCACACAACACACCACGCCGAGAGACTTCCAGAGTTTTCTAGCCCGACAAGTAATGGTGTAAGCCACTTTATGGCTCTACATCATTTGATACAAACTTGTTTTGAGTTGTACTACCATAGTTTGGTTGTATTTGCGAGCGACTGACTAATCCAGAGTCACCAAACCCCAACTCTTCGTCGCTTCCTGTGAATTCTATTTAACATCACATGTCCAGTCACACAACGTCACATGAGGCTATTCAAGCGATAATGAGAGAATGTGTTTTGGAGTATAAGTTGTTTAATGGAATCTACGATGCCAAAATCACTGAATACAACAACCATATCCAAGACGACCTGAGGCATCACATACTCCTCTCGGTTTCCCCTCCCGATGTATGAGACGCCATCCCACTTATGTATTCGTGCCTCAGTCCATCACAAAAATGCACTTTCACAATCCCCTCAACCAACGCAACAATGGCGTCCGGGGTCAGCAGGACGATCCGTGGCCTGAGATCCCGCCCCTCCCGCTTCCACCTCCTCTTAGCCCCCTCCCGGAACACCAGCCAGACCCATCACCCGAAGCAACACCATCCACCTGCCGGAACATCCAAAAGGGGGTCTCGGCCGTCTGGAACTGGCTACGACGGTTATTTACCAGGGGCCGACTTCCTCGTGCGGTCGAGGCTGCATGAGATGCGATGCAAGTAAATCTGTATTTCGATAATCTGTTTCCCTCTTCTGTCCGGCTACACGTGAGGACGATCCGTCGTGCTACTGCGGTACCTGCTGGTCTATGCTGTTGTACAAACACACCCGGAAAGTAAGGAAATAGTACATTCTGAGTCGTCCAATCAATGAGTCCCTAATCCCAAGTCCCCCTAACGCCCCCGTGTATTCGTCATGCGCATGCTACTGCAAGGTATCTCCTCCCGAGGAGCTCAGGCGGCCAGCCTGCTTGGGATGTTTGCTCTTTCGTCGCCCCTTTGGGACGATGGAGCATGTTATGGCTGAGCCAATCAATGGCCGTGAGACCGACGACGTGTGTGTGTCTCTAGTGTGTAGTGAAGTAGTGAAGAGTCCGTAACGCCGTCGATGATGCAAAAGTGGTGTTTTTGTGGGTAGGGATTTCTTTTTGTTCCTGTCGATGGAGAGGCGAATAGACCTCTCGACCCGTGCGGCGTTTACTTGCCGTGGGCTGAATTATCGTGTTAGCAGTTGAAGAGTAAAGATCGAAACAAAACTTGAAGGACGTGGTGACTTACTAGGGTCCTGGGGGAAGTCATCATCCCCGGCCTTCATGACGAGCATGTTGTTGTTGTTGTTGTTGTTGTTGTTGTTGTTGTAGACAGCAGACATGTTAAAGATGATGAAGATGTTCTGTTTGAAGGTAGAGGTGGAAGGCAAAGGCTGATGTTCAGGTGTCGAGTCTTTGATCTGGTAGTTGGGGGTAAGGCGAGGATGATATGCTTTACTTATGAAAGGTGTTGGATGGTAGTAGATTGTGTTGTGTAGTAACGAAACGGACTGCACATTGAGGCCGCAAAGGCATCAAATATATATCCCATGAGGCACGGGAACCGACCTCACAGTCCCTCCGTATTACAGACATGGTCGAAGCCTCAAACGTACCTCACCAAGGGTCGGCCGTCTCCCCCCCGGGAGTTGAGTCACGCAAGACAGACTTCAAGGCAGACGAAACACCGCCCGCTGGGCAATTCACCGAACGAGCGGCGCGCAATTACGCGGTTTGTAACGATTTGGGAATTGGGATTACCGAGCAGAGAATATCTCAATAAACAATAAAGATATCGAGCAAGGGTGAGGGAAGCGGCACGCGCAACGGCGCAATACACATACACAGCCAGGCACCATAGGCGGATTCGCGCGAGCTGATTGGCCCGCGGCGGCCATTGGGTGCCTGAGAAAGCATACAAAGTCGACGACAACGATGATGGAACATGGACAAACTCCCCCACCGCGCCTCAGTAAGGCGGATCTCTAGGTGCTAGGTATCGCAGAATTGCACCGAAGGTGACTCAGGCAGAAGGCGGATGTGACGGCGCGAGGTGGAATTGGGAATGGGAATCGCGTCAACAGACTGCTGTTTTCGGACGTGGGGTGGCTGGTTCGGTTGGCAGCCTGGGATGGTCACACGCCGAAGAACACACGGCCAGGTCCCAAACCCCAGTTTTTCCAGGCAATGATGACTAGGTACGGAGTACCTCACCTAGTATTATTCTGGGGATAGCGTCAAGGGAAAGAGATGGAGATGGGAGGAAAACAGGGGAATGGGGAGGAATAGCGTAGGCGTCACTGGCCTCAGAAGTTACGAGTGCCTCGGGAGGGTAAAGACCAGACGAGGCATCGGGGCTGTGGTGGGTCGAACCCCTGGACCGAGTTGTAGCTGACATTGGAATTCGGTGATGGCAAGATGGTAATTGTTTGACGAGTTAAGGGCACAAACATGCCTTTGCGTCGAACCAGCTAAAGAAACAAGATCGAAACGGCGCAAATGCGGAAAAACTACGTCAGGAAACATCGTCACAGCCCCCCGTTGCGCCGGTCTGACTGGTGCCTTGTGGACCAGGCTCGCCGAGGCCAGTCATCCATCCCGTCGTTAGGTTTCGTTTGAACCGTCATGAACCAATGGCAGAATTGCCTGAGGAATATTGAGGCCAACATCCAAGTCACCGAGTCGGTTGCCTTTTTTGCTGTGCTTTCAAACAACCGGGGCGGGGGTGGGTTTGGGCACGGAGAAAGGCAGTGCAGTCGCCTCGCCCGCAAAGCTCGAAAAAAAAATACAAAAGTCTGTTGGAAATCTCTCCCTCACGAAATTTCTCGGTGATATCCGCCATCGTGATTGATCGAGGCACCGACAAGAGGATAAGGAGGCACAGCCCGGTTTTAGTCTAGCACTCAAACTGACCGAAAACAAGTCGAAAAAAGCAGTTGAAATCGGTTGATTATTGGTGCGAAAGTGTATGAAGAAGAGAAGTTCTTCTTGAGTGGGACGCGGACTGGAAAGAGGGGGATAAGGCAAGTCGTTGCCTGCTTACTCAGCTTCTGCCTTGGACGATTTGGACCAATGAGACGGTGAGGGCCATGGAGCGGGTCCCCCACTCTGCTAGCCGAAGACGAAATTTTCTGACGAAGTATTTTAGACAGGCCTGCTCCCATCCTTTTTCAACTTTCCACCCTTCCATCATCTTCACTGCGCGTTACTCGCCAGTCACCAGCGGTCACCGGATCTTATTCATGATCCTTATTTCGACTTCCCCTCGACGCCACCTGCAGCTCTGCTATATCGCATGATGCGGCCAAGTCGAGCCGAAACCCAGTGACGTCTGCTCGCGCGCGGCATGAGCAAGTGCCATCCGTCGAAGCGCAACGCTTTCCCAGTCACACCTGGAAGATATTGAAACAAGAAAAGAACCCCACGATATGCCTACACTTCGCGATCTCAGTACGCGGGAGTGTTAACTACTTTTTTATCGTTCGAGTGGGAGAACAAACAGAGGTCTAGACAACCGGTCCGCTCCACCCTGAAGCCATAGAGATAGTGTGGCATCAGGACTAAAATCGGACAAACATATCAGAGACATTCGTCTAGTCTCGTTTGCAAGATCGTGATGTTTGATTTTTGAAATTATCCAATGTTGGTCAAGGGGGTGCCTTTCTATCGCCCGACACGTATTAAGAAGGGTATTTGGTCATAAAAGTCGTGAATCCTCAAACTCCATCCAGCCCATCATCGGCATGTTGCAGTACCCAGTACTCGCATTAAAATGTGCTCTCGCTGAAAATGTACTTCTCGTCCAAGAAGGACAGGAGAAACTTGGCTACCATGCGACCAGTGTAGTTTACGGAGACGTCGCGAGGGAAAGGGTGCGCTTCGCCGTTGCCGTTGGGGAGGATCGGGTCCATGGTCAAGAAATCGAGCTCAATGTCTGCGTCATTGTTCGTTAGCATCGCTCTCTCATGATTGACAGCGAGCATCGGAAAACTCACAATTTTCGCCTTGGATTAGGTCCCTCAGGCGTACGACCATCTCCACCGCCGGAGCATCCAGCTCGCCCTGCTCAGCCCAGACGTTGTCGATGAAAGGGTTGAACGGCTTCGTCGACGAGTCGCGGCTGTGCGTCTGGTAGATCTGGTGGAACTGGTACGCGAACTGCTTGAACGGCAGGTTCTCCACCTCCCTGTTGATGCTGAGAGCATCTTCGCGCTTGTACTCCGGCGGCGTGCGGTTGCGCATGCTAATCTCGTTGAGGGCGACCACGAAGTTGTCGGCCGCCGTCTCGACGGACTCCATGAATAAGCAGAGGACGAGGAACGCCGCTGTGCACGGCGCCCACTCCCGCCGCGACTTGGGCTTGAGGGATTTGGAGAAGGACTCGAAAAGGTGTTGCATATCTCGCATCAACAGCTCGTCGATGACGGCCTTGATCTGCCTGTTGACCACGCGCGGCGTCACCCACGGCACTTCCTGCGGAACCAGGTTGGAGTCCTGCAGGCTCATGACGCTAGGCCGGGTAATGCAGAGGTGGCGGGTCATGATGAAATGGGCGCTATATATCGCGAGGGCCTTCTTGACCATAGAAGACTGTTAGGGGTTAGCGAGACGCTCCTGCGATAGAGGCGAATGGATGGCTTACATCGGACTTGTTGGCGTAGTCTTGCACAACGGCGAGAACCTTCTGCGGCAGGTCGGTATGCCGTATAGACTGCGTCACGCGTTGCGCGTACCCGGGCTCAGAAGAAATGGCGGCAACGTACTCCTTTGCCTTCTTCTTCAACGCGTCCCTCTGGGCAGCAGTGTCCAACTCCAGGACCATGGGTGCTGTGCCTCTGGCTTGAAGATCGACCCTGTCCTGTGCAACATAGAGATGGTAGTGCTGCGTCACGTCTGAGGTGATGGGCTTGAAGAACTGAGCCCGCACCTTCAGAACCGGTGTCAGCCCAGAGAAGAGCTCAACTTCCCTCGACATCGGCTCGCCCATGCCCTTGAGGTCGACGTTCTCCTTCATGAACCGTGACATCTGGTCCTTGCGGAAGTGGGCGCGCATGAAGTCGGGAAACAGCACGGTCAAGAAGTCGGAGAATTGCCAACAGATGACCTGCGGGACCTGGGCCGCGAGCTTCTTGCAGTTCTTGCACGGTCGCTCCTTGTCGCACTTGACCTTGCGGCTGTGGCAGCAGAAGCAGGCCCCCAGACGGCGGACCTGCAGAGCGTTTTGCTTAGTGGCATCGGCGAGAGGTCCCTTGCGGCCGCGAGGGTTCGTACGCATGTTCTCGAAGCACTCGTAGAGATTCGCCTGACCGGCACGGGCGGTAATCGAGTTGGGGGTAACGATGACGAATTTGCTCGCGGAGTCGGTTGCCTTCTTCTTCTCGACTTTGCCGGTCATGACCTTGCGGATGGGACTGGATGACGAGGCCTTGTCGCCCTCGTGCTTGAGATCCGGGGAGGTTGGGTTCGAGCGGTTCGGGCTGGTGGACGCCGAACCCTGCGATGACGAGAAGTCCTCCATGACGAAATTGTCATTGTCAACCTTGAGATTGTTCGGGCTCCACGGGCTCTGGTCAGCATTTTGAAATTGTTGTGAAAGACTCAGATCGAGGCCGATATCTTGCTGTTGCTGTTGCTGTTGATGTTGGGGAAATGTCTCTAGGCCCGTAAGGGGAACATTGGGCTGGAATGAGTTGATAAGGGAGGCTGTCATCTCTGTAGAAAAGGTCGGTCAACGATGCATATTCACACTCTAGTCTGGACGCCGCACTCACCATTAAGCTGTGCCTCCGAAAACAGGAATTGCTGAGGCGTCAGGGTATCGGGATCCTGCGCGGCGGCGTTGAACTGGGCATCCGGCGATGGACCCGGTGCAAAGGCCTCGTTCTGGTCCGGGAAGCCGGCGGCGGAGAAGGGGCCTTGATCGATGTCGAGGTTTAGCGGAGACAGGCCCGAATGGTCGGAGCCGGCAAAGCCAACGACGGCGTAGCCGTTGAGGCTGCCGCTGGCCGGACTGGGCAGGAAGCCGACTGATGATGGCGCATAAGAGTTGTAGTCGAGGTGCTGCCACGAATCGTCCGTTTCGGCCGAGGACTCGTAGGGTGAATGAGGCGTCCTGCCCCTCGAGGAGACGGACGTCATTTTGGCGAGTGTCCGTTCGTCTGTCTAAGCGACTTCTTCTGAAGATTGGTTCGAGATGCTGTAGTAAAAGGTTTGTCGGGAAGTTGTGCGGTGCCGTCTGATGTCCGAGCGGGCCGTTGAGCTCGAATTCAATTCAAAAGTCGTTTTTAATGAAGAGATGAAGCGGCGGTGTTTTTTCCTCCTTCAATGGCCAGCAAAGCTGTCGGCAGGCTCTGCTTACGCACCAATTTCAAAACTGGAACGCGGGGTGAGAAGCGAATCGCCGCCAAGTGTTTTTTTCTCAGCTCTTGGCTACAACGAGAAGTTCGTCGAGTCGTCGTTCGATTATTCTTGGAAATCCTGTTGTCAATCGTCGGGAAGCTATGCAGGAGAGCGGGAGCTTGAACAAGAGTAAGAGGGCGAACCAAGGAGATAAAAACCAGCGTGGACGGACGGCTCTGTCAGCTCATACCAGGACGAGTCGCTGCGGCGCCCGCCAACCGCCAACGGCCAACCACGCACGCATACCCGCATCCTCCTCCCGCTATTCATTGTGCTGTTCCCGCCGCCGTTGCTGCTGCCGCTGCAGCGCTGCTGAACCAGCTGGACCCCCTTCATCCTTCCGCCCCCAGTGAGCTAACCCGTTTAGGAGACCGAACGGCGGAGACATGTGGACGAACTTTCATTGGGCGGCCGGAGCGCTAGGCCCGATGCATCACCGGGAGAGAGACCGGGACGGCGGTGCGGGACCTGCCCCTTGCCACACCGGTGACCGAAGCCCGCCGTTCGGGCCCACGTAACGGACTGTCTTCGCTCTTGTGTGCCGGAGACGTGACCGAGTCAATGTCGCAGTCGCACCAGCGCCATCTGACATGAACACCCGTGTTTCGAGAAGACACGAAAGAAGCAGCGGCCACAGATGCAACTGACGGATCTGTTTGTGGGGTGTTACATTCTTGGCAATCGGCACGGTGCTTCTTACCCATTTTCATTTCACTTTACACAGTGCGCACCAGCTCCTGCCAGACACCCTCCTGAATCGGGCGGGATCCCACCTTCCAATGATTGATGGTAAGGTAGTTCATCAACCGCATAAACAGCCTTTTTCCAGAAAGACTAGTTGACTTATTCTATTCTTACAAATCCCACTAGGAGATCGACAGCACGCACTCGCATCAGCGAACCGGCCCGGGCCCTGAATCCTGGATCACCCTTCGCCATTCCTTGGGAGTGCATCCCGCTCCTAGTCGATATCACGAACTTGGGAATCATAACACGAAGCGTTCAACTGCCCGTTCCCTCAAACCAAACCTCCCGCATAACACGACAGCTCGCAACATGAACCGTTTTTCAAATGATCAATCTTCACATTTCCACCCCAGCAAAGCCCGCTTTCGCTCAGGATGTTGCTATACGGCCCAAGTCCACTTACACGACCCACGATGAAATCAACTTTTCCACCCCAACTTTCCTGCGCCACCATCTCCCTGTATCATCTGGAATACAACCTCGGGACTTTGGATCTGATGATCTACACCATCATCTCGGGGGTTATCTGGCATCCCCGGCCAACGTTGAGTTTAGCGTGCTGCGCTTGAATACAAAGGCTACATGCAGCACACCAAACGCAACCGCCATCCATATGCCAACCAGTTCTGGCATACTGCAGACAACGAACCCCTCTCGGCTGCGGAAGCTAAACATCCAACGCGTGCCGGCCGAAGCGTCTCTTCGCCGAAGCCGCTTGCCCTATCACCGATAGTCCCCTGGCCGTCCCAAAGCACAATCGGCTGTCTGATGACGGACCGGTCTCCTTTAGCGCCGTCTGGACCCGTGCCAGTCGGCATCCTGCCGCGATTCCTTCGTCTCTTAACATTATATTCCACGGACGAAGGCTTCTTGTCCGTCGAGCACTGCCATCATGAGGATCTTCCAACTTTTGTCGTCGAAATTCACGCTAGAGGGCAAAACTTGCAATATGAAGCCTCGTCTATAATATCGACGTATTAATCCGCCCCTCAGTTCGCCTCGGACACGAAACCAACCCTCAAACATCGAAACTACGAGTTGAAAACCCGAGTCCGAACTACTTGTACTTGGCACGACACCCTCACCCCAAGAGACGCACACACAAGCACCTACCACCTCCCTCAAGGTCAACCCGGCCACCAAACTTGCTAGAACACACCAAATGTGCCTGGACGAACCCCCTTCTCATGCTTCGCTCCTGTTACCTCCGCTCTACCAACCCTTTCCATTTAACGCAATGGTCAACATCCCAAGATAGAAGCATTTCAAGGGTCAAAGAAACACCTACTTACAAACTCCGCAGAGCAAACAGGCACACACACACACACTCTCACACACCCGCCCTCCATCCCTCCCTTCTGCCACACGCTCACAAACCTTAGCTGCCACATGCTCTGCTTATTCAACCTCTAGTCAGCCAAGATTCGAAACCGCCTTCTATCGGACTCTGACGCTCTTCCAGAATCCCGCTCCCCCATCTGAGTAACCCTGCTCCCTCCCTCGCCCAGGTCTTCCCACGATCTCATTCTTTTTCTGTGTTTCTACATGAGAAAACCCTCCCATCTGCAAGGACAACCTTTCGTCGCGAAGGAAGAAGAAAACAACACCAGCCAGAGAGAATTTAACTCAACCGGCGGGCGACAGCCGCGGCAACTTTCCGCAAAAGGCAGCAAACCCTAGGAGAATAAACTGACTGGGCAGAGCAGAACTGAAAAGAAAAGATTAAACAACCCAAGAAGCCTTGGACAGGATGCGTTCCGCCACGTTCCGCCATGTGCCTGCCGTGCACGTCACCAGTATCAACACTCCCTTTCGCTCCCTATCAAAACTACCCCAAACCTTGGCCTCCACGATGATGCTGCAACCCGTCACCGGAAACTATAAGCCCTCCATCATACTATCCAACCTGCTCATCGGCCTGTCGTAAAAAGACTTCCAAGCGGAGAGAGCGAGGGAAGGCAGTGGGCAGCCGGCTTACACGCCGTCGAGCGCAGCCCGGCGGCAATCTTCTCGCGCGCGCGGAACACCACCTCCGAAAAGCTGTCTCTGCCAGGCCCCTTGTCATATCGTTCGCATCATCACTTTGTTCTGCAAACCATGCAGAGACTACACAGGTATCTTCAGCAGGGGAAGAAAAAACGGCAAAAACCCCCGGTCTCATAGCCAAATCTTCATAGCAAGATTTGGCCCCATGTCTCCCCTCTTCCCCCGGGTGACCCATCAAGCGGGATGCGACATCACGGTCTCCCTTCAAACCCTGGACTCTTTTCCGTGGTTCCCCAGTTTCTTGGCTCTGCAACTGCCAAGGGGGCCAGCAGCAGGCTGTTGAAGAACGACCGCCGCGCCCATCGATTGCCGTTCCAAACACACGCACACGCATGCAAGAAGACCCTGGCCCGGTGGTTCCCCAAACCCCGTCAGGCACGGAGGCAGGAAGGAATCCAGCCCAGCAAGCATCTGGTGATGATCATCGTTCATTTCAGCCCAACCTATCCGCGCGGTTCGGCTGCCACCCTGTCGTCGTCCCTGGAAATGGACGGCCCAAGGGATAAACGTAACATTGTCGTGCGGGAAAACGCTAGAATCAGCAGATGAGGCGCTCCCGCCCGGGGAACACAAGTAGACTCCGTTGTAGAAAACGCACGGTTCAACACTGCTTCTGTCATGCCATTAACTGTCAAAATGTGGTGACGTTCACGACCGGTCGTCGTCATGAAGATGAAGAGAGTAGAATTTCGCGGCGCTTCGAGAAAGCGCCCTGCTGCCTGTAGAGGGGGATATCAAACTGCCAAATATTCATCTAAGCCGCCCGAAAACCCAAGTAAAGTACCATAGTAAAGTAGAGAAGACCCAGCGAAGCAAAAGATAAACCAGCAAACGTGTCCAAACTTGCTCTCGGCCAAGCACACATACACACGCACTATTGAACAGCCCGCCCCGGTAAGTGTCAAGTCAAACCCGTTCGAACAACTCCAAGACCCCTTCACACGCCGTTTCAGTGCAAGAATGGAAGGGAAAAAGGGAAATCGATGAAAACGGGGGAAAAGATAAGAGATCAAATCGATGTACAAGAGGTGTTCATTCCCGTTCCTGTTCCCATTCCCAATAATAAGTAGAAGAAATCCTGGCGCCCGTCGCTTCCCTTGTTGTGGCATATATGTTACCCTTTCGCTTGCGAATCCAATTCAAAAAGGGGGAAGTAGGGTGATATTGTCTGCATCTTACTCTCTTTCTCGCTCTTTCTCTCTTGCTCCCTCTCGGCAGTAGTGACGTGTGGCCCGACATGATGAGGGCAGCATTACCATTTCCATACAAATAAAAACAAAAAAACAAGACACACCCGCTTGCCAAGTGATGGAGAGGGAGCTAAGCTAGCTGTGGTTTTTTCCCGTGGTGGTCGTTTCCATGAGGGACCTGTTCGTCCTAATTCGTGACGCCCTCGTTTCCGTATCAAGTCATCTACTCTCTCTTTCTCTCTTCTAAAGAATGAGAAGGATTCCAAACACGTTCAGTTCCGTCGTAAAATTTCCGTAGATAAAATCGTCAAAGCCCTGTTTCGTCGTCGTCGAGAAAACAATGTCGCACGTGGCATTGTTGGGTATGGTCAAACGACGTCGTAAAAACCCGATTCAGGGCGAGTTGGTGTGTGGAGAATATGGCGAGCATGTTCAGCTTCTGAACCGTGTCGCGGCACGCTCCTGAATCTGCTTCTCCGTAGAAACGTATAGTCGGTCGAGGTAGTCCATGGCGCTCGCGTCCTTGAGGATTTTGGCAACCTGGATGCCCGCCGAGATGAGCTGTAGGATGTTGCGGTCGTCCTTGAGTGGCCTGCTCTGGTGTTTGGCCGCGTGTCGCATTTCTAGCGAGTTCTCGAGAATCGTCACGAACTGCTTGATCTGTCCGTTGTACAGTACCCGCGCTGGGATGCGGCGCTTGGTCGCCAGACGCTTCAGAAGATACACCCATTCCGTCCACTCTCTGTCCTGAGGACGCTCTACGGGCCTCATGTCCTGCGTCAAAGGAATCGGAAATTGGTATTTCGCGACAAAATCGTATGCGCACTGGGAGAGTCGGTCGTTGACCTGCGTAAGGACCAAGTCCTGCTCTTGAACGTGCAGGTTCGTGGGAAGATGAGGTAATTCGCGTTCTTGCATAGCAATGTACTCTGGCGGAGGACGAGCAAGAAACTGATGAGGGCCGTCGAATTCGTCCCTGTTTGATGGTCGGCGTTGAGGCCGGCCCTTTCCATTCACTTTGCCCTTGCTTGGAGGTGTCGCACCGGTACCATTCTCGAGGGAGTAGTCAGAAAGGTTCGGAGAGGCGATAATGTCGTCGACTGAATCCGTCGGGGAGTATCTTTCCTGATGGTCCCAGGCTTGGGAAGCCGTACCCTTGTACGAGCCGTAACCACCGGCACCACTGGTGCCATAAGTGCCAGATGCTGGCCGAGAGCCGTATGCCGGGGGCGCCGCAACGGCGGCGGCGGCAGCGGCACCAGCATGAGGATTGGTTCCAATCGGTAGGTTGTAGCTACTGGCTCCGGGAGAGTACGTGGACACACTTGAAGGTTGGGTGTTATTTGGCTGCTCCGCGGAGGAAGAAAACAGAAAACATCGACGTCTGGTTCTTACCTTGATGAACGGTAGTAGCCGTTATCGAAACCTCCGGCGGGCGGAAATGTATCATTGTACATCGAACTTTTCTCGTCGGTCAGTTCTCCTGTCCTTCTCGGGGCGTCTGCAGATGGTGGGAGCGGTCCGTACCTCCGCGATGAGTTCCACGGTCCGTTGGACATGGCTGATGGTCTGTAGGCAAAATCCGGCTGGGCCATATCTTCCGGGGGCATAACGGTAGAGAAAAAGAAATCAAGCAGCAGACTTGGAGGTTTCCAAGCAGTCCAGAGATGGAAGCCACGTGAAATAAGAATAGTCCTTGGACGGGCAGGTCAGCCCCGGGTGTCCTGAAAAGAGTCCCTTGGGCTGTGATCTTGGGCCAAGTATTCCTGGGAAAATGCGGCAAGTGGTCTCCTCAAACACAAGGGAATCCACGATAACAAAAATGGTCTTGCTCCAGGATAGGACCCTTGAAGAACTCCGGGTCGTTGCAAGGGCGGTGTGGATGTTGGGGGTGTTTAAGCAGGTGATCGGTACAAGAAACGACTTGTCTCCACGACTGCCACCTTAACTGACTTATAAGACGCTCGGGAATGACTTTGAGGTGAAGATACACTAGGGGGGTTAGTGGAAGAATCTCTCAGGTCCTGCTGGCGCAAAACGGGAAAGAAGAAACCAACAACTTCCTGGGATGGACGAGGATAAGGGAGCGGGCAGGATCCTGACAGTGGATGATTAAGTTCGGAATGGAGGCATTTTATGTCTGCTTGGGATGTCCTCCTCGTGGGGCGTGGTACTGGAGCGGCAAAAATGGTTGATCCCTGGTCCAGAGGCAGAAAGAGGTGGTCCGTTGGGAAGTCGCGGCGTAGGGTGAACAGGGACCAGGAAAGACGCAAGCTGGAGAGACTCGAGTAAAGATTTGCATTCGCCCCAATGACCAACACCACGGAGACGTCTTTGGTTTCAAGCCCACGGCTGCCGCATGGGCTGGAGGATACGTGACTGCCAAGCGCTGTAGTCCAGAAGGTTCGTCCGTCGGGCGTCCTGGGATAGATTGCGGTTCACGGTGTCTGCCGCCCTGGTGGAAGTTGACAACCGTCCCTTGGCTGCTGGTGAGGCTTGCTTTTTCGATTTTGCAACGTGAACACGACAGGTAAGCGAACGAGAGGAGATCAGCATGCCCTTTGATGGCTGGTGCCCTCCCGTCCCCTCTATTTTGGCGCGATGCCAGGTCGACTTTTTTGACAGTTGGCCCCTCTCACCAGGAATACCCCAGATCAAACCAAATCTTACGGCGACGCTGTAATGGCGGGCGCGCGAAAGCCATTGGACGTGCCAACTCTTGACGAAGACAACGGGGCCAATTGTGTAGAGTAGGGCACCGATTGGGCTGTGACAGAAACTTTTTCTTTGCTGGGCTGGAGAATTGTTGCCCGAAAGGTCGGAGTAGCTTCTCGGTACCGGATGGGATGATTTGTGCAGGGTTGTACCTAGCGAGAGAAGAAGCGGTGACAGCATGCCGGGTTGGGCACAAATTGGACAAACAAACACCGGCGGCGGATACGATGAAGAGGGGGAGGGGACGCGCGCTACCGACAGTATTGGCGAGCCCAACCATGCCTTGATGCCCACTTGATGAGTGGAAGTTGCTTTTGGCGCATCATTGAATCAAGGACTCCCGCCCGCGATCACAGCATCCTAACACAGCCTGGGGATGGGGCCAATCGTTGCCGCGCGCTGCCGGCATTGAGGGTCTCTCGGTCCGCAGTGACAATCCGGCAGTCGTTCTGCTTACGGCCAGCTATTTCTCCAGTTCGGTATCGAGGTCAGACTAACGCAGAGTTGAGGATGAAATGCTGGGGCCTCGGTTGTGTGTGTGTGTGTGTGTGTGTGTACGAATGATCTGACCTTGACGTAGCGACGTGAAGCTGGTCTTGTCTTGTCTTGTGTTGAAGCAGGGGACCAGGGACCAGGAATCCCGGAAATGGAGTCTGATGGGGCTGGAGATGACTTGGGGAAAGACTTCTGGGTGTTCTGACAGCCAATGGCGGCGCTGAAGAGACTTCGAGGCCAGTCGTTCGGCTGGCTGCGAGTGACTAGTGTCGTCCATCAAATCGACTCGACAGCGACAACCACTGACCAGGGCGAATAAGGCGGGATGACGTGCGCATCGGCAAACCCTAGGATCCTGGGAAGTTTGTTGATAACCTCAACGTATTTGATGTGAGTGAGGGAGGAAAAAGTACAGGGCAAGCGAGTGATGGTCGGACGATCGCCGGCAATCTCTGCGTATGTGCATGATGCGCGCGGAGACAGATTTGATCGATCTCGGGGTGCAATCAATGGCACACCGCAAGCGAGCGCTTCGACCTAAAATTAAATGGTGGAGGAGGGGGGAGACAAGCCATTTCGTCTCTTGATGAGCTGTCAAGCGCCGCCTCGTGGTTTGCGGGGATTCTGCGGGACGATCATGTTGCCAATTTGAGATGACGTTGGCTGTTGGCGGTCGTCAGGCGGTCGGGTGTCTTCCAGCAAAGTTGTTGAATTCCATACTTCTGAGTCGTACATCAGAGCAAGAAGCCTCACCCCACGCTTCGAGTTGACGACAGCATATGTCTTTGAGTTCGTGGGGTTCGGAACACAGCGTTGCCGTAGCCCTGCGGGGTGCGGGCGAGTTCGTTCGTCTGTATCGGTAAACGTTGCAGCTGCTGTAGGCTGTGCTATCGGCTCTGAAGATTGAGACTGGTCCGGATGGGCGAGTTTGTGTTGTCGTTTCGCATGGTTCCCATCGAGACGAGCCCTCCGGCGCAGTGTCAAAAGCCAAGCTGGCCGAGACGAACAGCGAGCTGTCTCAGGCACTCCATGTTTGCGGGCATTGACCAGGCCGGGATGGTGCGCATAGCACCGCGAAATGCGCATGACAAGGCCGAAATCACAGCCGGAGCGTTCCACTTAAAATCTGGCGATTCGGAGGGTCGTGACCGGCCACTTTCACCGCAGAGTCAATGCGGCCATGTGTTTTCGGCACGCTGTCTAGACCCCGGTTGGTCCGGGGTGGCCGATTCAGTGCTTAACGAAAGGACTTCCCCGTCCCACGTTCCGGGTTCCTGATCGGAAGAAATTACCCGAAGCCCAGAGACGTCCCGGTGGCCGATGACAGCTCCAGATGGATCCGGCGATGGAAGCATCTTCGACGTTCGACGCTAGGCATAGAAGAAGACTATTTCAGGGTCGCTGCTTGGTGTATGGAGGTGGATGTCGGAATGATGGATGGTGCTCAAATTTGGCAACGCAGGGTTGAAGCTCGATGCCAGAGACGACGCTTGAACGGCTGTGATTGCTTGTGGATCGCCTTCTGTATTCGGTCTAGAACAGAGAGCCCTTCCCTTCTCGACAGAGACATTGAACGACGACTAGACAGAATTGTCGTTAAGGCATGTGTTTGTGGATTCGTGTGGTTGGTGTCTTGCGAGAGTTTCGAGTTGAAGCGAGGTCAATGAACAGGACCAGGAAAGAAGGAGCACCTTCCCTGCGGAAACTGCTCCTCATTGGCTCCGGGGTTCCTGTGCCGAGGGAAACAACCTGGAACGGATCGCGGTTCTTACCTAAGACATCAGAAAAGGTCTGATTTATGATTGGTGCATTGTAGCTTGACTATGGAGACGTTTGTCGCCTGCCCCAGATCCCACAATAATCTTCCCCTTGTCTTCCCATTGGTCAGATCTTCATGCACCTCTCGTGTAGCAACTCCCACCCTTGGGCCCAGACCAATCATCGTCATTATCAAGAACGTACTCGTGCCAGCCCAGGAGATCAGTCTGTTAAAATAAAGAAACAATTTGAACGCATGTATTCTCCTTCATCAACAACACCTCTCTACCGCAGGATATTTTCCTCCTGCATGATCATCCAGGTTGATACCCCGGTCTGACCTTATGCAGCTGCAAGATCAGTCTCGATCTGACCCGCATAACCATTGTCATTTCGTCAAGCATGGTCAATCGGCGTCTCTTTAACCCTCGGGACTGCGTGGAGTATCATTGACATAGAATTCATCGTGCGACCTAAGTCACTTGAAATGGCGCCGCCTAAGAACCGGGTCCGCAAATTCCATCGCCGAAGCAAGAATGGCTGTTCGACCTGCAAGCAACGTCATGTCCGTTGTGACGAGCGCAGGCCCTTGTGGTAGGTCCTTTCTTACCCCTTTACCCTGTTTCTCACCTATATCATGAATGCTGTTCATGTCGGCGAAGACCCTCTTTGCGATGAATAGATTGATCCAGAAATTCTCATGGATGCAGAAATCGCCTGACTTTATCCACAGTACAAACTGCCTGCAGAACGGCAAGGACTGCGTGTACCCTGGACCCGATCCAGATCCGGAGTCTCAGTCCGAAGCATGGTCAGAGTCCCGGTCCGAGGCCGACTCGGCACTGATCCCGGTTGAGGAGTCGGCGCGGCTTGTCAACGTCCTGTCTCAACAACCGTTCGCCGGGTTTTCAGGTGACTACCAGCTTTCGGATATGTCGCAGTGGCTTTTCCACCAATGTCAGTCGATTTGGCCTATCGTTATGTCTGCGGTAGGATCTGACCAGATTGCAGTTTCCAATTTCTACGTTAGAGGACAAACCCCGGTGGAAAGAGGGCAGAACCTCTGCAGGTGCGAACTTCCATACCTACCTACCTGAAGCAAACACCAATAATTCTGACACGACCACACAGTCTGCAGCGCACAGTACTGCACCCAGGACTTCTTCATGGCTGCTTGGTTGTCGCGGCCTGTCAGTGGGCATGGGTTACTGGATCCCTTGAGCATGTCAAGGTGCCCTTTCTCTATCACAAGGCAGCAGCCTACGAGTTCGCCAAGAAACAACTGTCAGAGGCTGAGAACCCCGTCAGTGACACGGCGGTCTTCGCCATAGCGACGCTGGCACTCACCGAGGTAGGAAGCTCTGGGCCTCCTCTGTCAAACATGTTACTGAATTCCACTGGAACCAGGGCGCCGTGGGCGATCTAGATGCTTCTTCCAAGCATCTGCGGGGCCTGCATAGGTTGACGCTCAGAAAAAATGGATACAACCTGATGAGGTCAAATCTAGCACAACAGATGCTGGCGATGTAAGACCATGGCCGCCACTTCCGCGATAGGGGTATTGACATTACCCATTAGGGCAGGCGATCGTTTGCGCCGGGGCGAAGTTCATGTCATACACGACGCCATCAGTGCCGATTTCCAGCCAAGCATCATTGCCTTGCTTTTCACGTCGTTATGGGATATGGAGAGCCTACCCCCAAGGCAGGCCCCGAAATACGGCTGGTGGGAAGAAGCTGAGACCCCAACAGACTTCCTTTGGCAAGACTATACCAAGAATCTGAACTGGGAGCTATCTCGTGGCTTCGACCCCGAGCGCAACATCGCCACAATGTTGAATGGCGATCCGAAGAGTAGTCGAGCGAGCTACATCGCGACTTTCTTCTACCTCGTGATGGCCGTCAACGACAGCGAAATGGATTGCGTTTTGACCGTTTGGCTGCTTGAGCAGCTGATAGATGACGTATGCGACAAAGAGGCGGAGATGATATCTGGTTCCTTCAGCAGAAGCTTGTGGTTCTGGAGTGTTCTGTTTGGCGCAGCTATAGCCAATTCGGGACGCCCTATCACAGATACCGGCAGACAGCAACTGGCGAAGTGGAAGGCTGTGTACGCCGCAAAACTAGGGCTCGTAAGCTCTGTATTGGATCTCAAAAATTGGCAATCGGCCAAGATGGCTCTGGCCGAGGTCGCCTGGTCTGAAGGGTCGGATGCTGAGAGCAGACTGCGAAACATATGGGAAGACGCAACATCGAACCGATACGAGAGCAAAAACGTCCTCGACATCAGCGGCCGGGGTACTGTATGAATTTCAGTCATGCATAGGGGGAAGTGGCAGAGGATCCGGTGCTTGGTCGTCGTTCACTTACACCGGAGCGCCGAATCATTGATCCGCACGATTGGATGAAGTTATCGCGGGAACTGAGGTCCAAAACGACGATTGGGGCAGGGCTCTGGACGGAGGAACGTTTTCTCGACTCCGAGAGATACCACTTTCAGGGTTGGGGTGACTGAGTCAGACAGCTGGCCCCCTGAGATTTTGATCTGCGTTCTGCGTCGGAAGCAACCAGGCCGTCGGCGCGTACCTTCACCTTATTTGCAATAGTGCAACCCGGCAGACCGACGTCCGAAACAAATGAATTTCTGCAAAAGGCTAGAAGAGATGGAAGAAGATTCCACAATTCAGGAGGGTAAATTGAGATTCGAACACTTGTAACGCGCCGGCGAATCTGGCGCGGAGACGATCGCCAGAACTGCGAATCCCCTCATCATTTGTCGGGAAATTTGCGAGTGTCGGTGACATCTGCCGAGGGACGAGCGCAACAGACTTTGGTAGTGGGAAATCTAGACAGGGTTGAATGCCACGGATCTGATTGATGTCCCATCATTCACAGCTGGAAAGTAGGATGCTGATGCTCGGGCGAAACTTTGTCGGTACGCGAGTGTCACGGAGAATGCGGCTGGTGAGCAGGTAGCTCGAGGTCGCCATCATTTACGTGCGTAGGCAGCTAACTTCCTTCCTGACTCGAGTACCAATATTCATCCCTTGGACTGACTTGGAAAAGCGGCTGCATTGAAGGCAGAAATGAGGGATGAGTTGTTCATTCTTGCTCCACGCGTCCATGTCGCCGCAGCGGGGACCGCTTCGTCATCTCGCGATACGGATACCTAGAGTGACTAAACACGCTGGCAGGAAACAGTTGCTCGGGAAGGCGGCTGTATTCATCAAGAAAGTTGCGGATGCTAGTTCAAGTTGCAATTAGAGCTGATAATCACGAGCGTGTGGCCAAGGCATCCCGGGCTTTCTTTCTGGAAACGGTCGGAGCTGTGTCCGTCCGAGGCAGGAGAGCTGGAGGAGCTCTTGCCGTGAGAGGTCGCTATAATTATGCACTGGCGATTGGCGGAAGATAGCGAGGGAAGGAGAAGATGAGGCAGATCGATAAGGCGAGATACCTACCTCAGGAAAGGACGAAAAGAGGGGGTTGAACCTTGTTTCCTGCCTCGAGGCAATTGTTTCCGAATCCTCATCGCTTCAATGGGCTGTCACCATCGCCAAGTCTGTTTCTCATCCCATCGTCAATGCCTCCGCTTGACAACGGGCGCTGTCGTCGCACATTTTTGTCGTTTCCCCTCGTCCCGTGTCTATTGTTAACGTCAGCTCGCCAGCCATCCCGCATGGCATCACCCGATACCACTGGTTCCCCGCGTCTCAACATCATGCTGGCCTCAAAGTCAAGACCGTCAGCTTCACCATTGTCAGACGTCGGCGTCAAATCACATTTGTGTGGAGCTTGGGGCACCTTTTCCAGCCAAGGCGCAGGCGCAGGCGCGGACGCAGTCGCAGTCGCAGACGCAGACGGGGAACTCGGAAAAAGAGCGAGGTTGTCTCCTGGTCGCTTTATCATGCCGGATTGCTGACGTCGGATTCTCGGGATCGCATGGAAAACGACGACAGGTTATCGCAGCATCTCGATGACACGACGACCAAGACAGCCGGGTGATGCTGTAAAGTGACCACCTGGTCCCACGCCGCATATTCATCATGCACCACGATGCATTATTAAAAAAAGAAGTTGCAAATGGTTGGCGTGGACCGCTTCCGCCAGAAGCAGGCCAGCTGGCAGTGGCCGACTCATCACATCGCGGAGCGCGTTTGCGTCGGATGTCTCGAGGATGGAGGGTGGTGTCGTGTGGTGTGCTGCTACCGTTGTGTGGCCGGTCGAACGAAGCTCGAGCCAGTGGCCGTTGAACACGCCAACGCCAAAACTGTTCTTGTCGGATGAGGGAAAGTCGAGATGGAGAACGTTGGCCGGAGTGTGTCAGTGGCTGCAGCACGCCCTATCAAGACCGCCTCGCGAACAACCACGTGAAGCTACAGACGCCAAATGGAGCACACAGCAGCAGGCTGGATGCCAATTTGACGGGAAACAACACGAGGGCGGGCGACTAGCGGGCTGAGAGTCCGGCTTTCCGCAGTTCCCGCCCGCCTCAGCGGCTGTAGCGTGCGACGGTCGACCAACGAGCATTGCAGTCGGTGTTAGTTTGCTGTACGGATACTGCGTCTTTTTTTCGTCGACACGCTTTCCTTTCCCTAGCTGTCGGGATCGATCCCACCAAGACAAGACGGCTCTGATTAATGCATTAACTCATGGGGAAGATGGCGCCATGACTTTGATGTTCGAAGAAGCTACTGGAAACGGGAGGCATTTACGACGACGATTGTCAGGGGAAAATAGGGATGGGAAATTCGGAACGAGCGCAGACGCAGCGCACAGAGGCAGCAAGCTTGATGGGACGAGCAAGTTCCGCGCATGGTGCGGATGGGGGAGATGATGAAGGGCTCCGGGAAAGCAAGCATCAGCCCGTCACGACTCGACAACCCGGCCGCCTTCTTTCTTTTCTCTGCATCCTTCCTGCTCGTCGCTGGCCTCGTCTGCCGCCCTACGGATAGAACTTTCTCAGAATGCTGCACGGATGAGCTGGCGTTGCAGCCATGATCCCTCCTCTCTGCCACGGCTGGTCGTCCCTCGCACCGCGATAGGACGGAACTCTCTGTCTGTGTCCACCCGGGGCCCATGGTCAAGTCAGCGAAATCAAGGAAGAAGGCCAGTCACCGCCAAATAGCACTCGGAACGGGCCTATGACAGGTGCAGCTAGAATGAAGCCAGTTGGCTAGCGCCATGTAGCTCAAGTCCTGCGGCCATTGTGACGGCCAGCAACACGACACAATCACGGCGCATTCTCTACCACTCGACTCGTCCTGAAGAGTGAGAGTCCAAACACTCTGGCCAGCAGGCGGACACGGCTTCATGTTCGGCGGCAGCGAAATGAGACTGAATGAGACCGTCTGGTATTGAAATGAGTGGTGGACAATGATACGTATCCGCCAATATCACAATTCAAAGTGTGAAAGTGGTTTCTTGGCCTGCCACATATGCACACCCGCCCTGCAGAACGGAGAGACGCCAATGCTTCAGGAACAGGGGTTGTTGATGCCAACAGGGCATGCGGCATGGCACGCACGACGTGGAGTCCACCCCGAATCCTCCCCTGCCGACCACCCCCCTCGCAGACCTCATCTCGTTCGTTCGGTTCTCTTGGGCTGGCTGCCAGGCTTCTCTTCGTCTTGCAACATTAAAACCCGGTGACCCCCTCTCTCCCTGCCCAACGTCGTTTCTCTTCCCTTCTTTTCAGCCCAACCCGCAAGAACATTCCTGCCCAAGCATTCTGCCTACTGCAAAGCTGATCCTTTTGGCTACCCAACCTGCGCCAGTTTCTCTTTTTCTATCCGCCAACATCCCTCCCGGCCCTTACACAACGTCAACCCTATTCAGAAGGTCAAAAAAGATCTTCCCCATCTTGCCACCCAAGGATCATCCTACTCGACACCAACTCGACAAACATTCCACAGGAGCTCTGCAAGCAGACACCCGCCCGGGTCTCAGCTTTTGATATTCTGTCAACGACACAACTCGCCCGAGTTGAATCACATTTTTGCCCTGGACTGCATGATACACGACCCAAGGAATCAATGACTGCCCTTGCTGTTCCTCGCCCGGAGATGCCTGGCTACAATCTTGACCTGGACGACGTCCACACACCTTCTAGGTATTGTCTTTTCTTTCTCTGTTCCCAGGGTGGTCCATTGTGTTTTTGAATCCTGTACTGCAAAAATCATGTTTGTTTCTTTTGCGTTGGCTTCTCAGATCTCGCCGGCCATGGAGGCCATGAAACCACAGGATATCGACCCAGGATTCTTCACAGCCCAGGAATTTCATCCCAGGATTTTTGCCAGGATTTTCTTTCTCGGACATATTCCCAGGACTACTTTGCTTTTCCACTGGACAGGGACCGTTGCACGTAGAGGCACTGCTTCTCGTGCTTGTCGTACCGACCGGTCGTTTCAAACAATATTACATCACGTTTACACGACAGTAAGTATCGCCTGTTGAGAACAACATGAGAACACAGCAACATGGAGCCATTGGACTATCGCGGACTGGACGTTTTGCCGGACATTTTTTCTCCTCAGGAAGCCATGGACATTTTCTCTACCAGGATCATCGGACCATGTCTCACCCGAGACACCGGGGCTGCCCGGCCTCGTATTTGGATGGACACCAAGGATGAGCGCTCAATCAAACACTCCGTGTTTGTTTCTCAGTGTACCAGTCACAGCTTAATTGCAGCTCATGCTGGTCATCAACCGATATGGACTCCCGATTTTGGCACGTCGCACCAGCGCGTGTTGGTTCCTTCTCTTCTGTTCATGGATTTCCCTATTCGTCGATTCTGTTTCTAAACCCGAGGATTTCCTGTTTTTCGACTTTCGCGCTGTTATCTAAGGACTTTCATCGACCCATGGATATACCTCGGAGACTGTTTGCACTCGGCTTCGATCAAGAAACCTGTCGACTCAAGGACCTTCGCACGTCGTCTCACCTCAGGATGCTCGACCGGCAATAGGATACCACAACTCTCAACACTTCTTCTCAACTCGATCCAAGGCCCACGTTGTATGGAGAAATCGAGGACACCAAATTCTATGACGCCTGGCCCGAACGGAAAATTTCATTTGTCTCTGACCTGCCGGACTCTCCTGGAGCGCACGCCTCGACCTGGGTTGCCATCAATATCCTGACACGATCTAATGATCTGTGCTCGCTTGGTCTGTCAACACGAAACCCCTAACCCATGGAAAAATGCAACGACAGCTAACATGATGGTGCTACAGGAACAAAGTTGTGCCATGCTGAGATGTATTTCTTTTGTTTTCTGCATCGTACAAAAAGGCATAGTGGAGAAACAGCACACTAACCTCCCCTTCAGCGACTACAGCTTCTTCCACGCCGGTATGGCGGCGCCCTCAGGAATGTTTTCCTTTTCTTCTCAAACAGGACCATCGGACCACTTGAGTGGTTCGTGGGAAACGACAGGAGAAGGTGCACAGAACTTCCAAGACTTCTCAGACAACGGATCTGCCCACCCGGGAGAATCCGAGGACTTTCCTTCTTTCCAAGTTGAAGGCCACATCACGCCCCGAGGACAAGGACAAGCCGTTGAGGACCTGCAGAGCAAGTGGACTGCTCCCGCACCAGCCACGACCGTGGCGCCTATCGGTGGCGAACCGATGAGGCGAGGAACTTCGAAGAGTTCCAATGGAAGCCGCAAGCAGCACCGGATCTCCAAGATCACTTCTCCCAAGGCCAGACCCAGAATGACTTCTTCTGTGTCTTCAAAAGTTTCTGCGCAACTGTCCTCCATGGACATCACAGGTAATGCTTCTGTGTACTCTACAAACGGACCTCAGATCAACGGCCAGTTGATGGACGTGAACTCTTACTTCCTGGATTCGGACACGAGCGCCGTCTCATCTCAGTGGTTTAACTCTATGGAAATCGGAATGCCGGATGGCCTTCCATCCCAGCAGGCGGACATGACAATGCACGTCGTGCCTGCTCAGATGCAGCTGGACCCTGACTCGAGCTTGGGAGCTCACTCTCCTTCTGCCTCCTGGAACTCGTTCAGCCCGTCAGAGTCTCAGCTGTCTTCCCCTGCTCAGACCCCCGAGGACCTGTGGCTTTCCGCCCCTCTCATGACTTCTCCGTCTCACTCGGAGCATGTCTCTCCCATTATTCAGAGCCAGTCTCCTAGGTACGTCCCTCAGGTCAGCTGCTCAAGCCTGGAGCAAGCTTCTGATGCGGCGTCCATGTACAGCGTCAACGGCAAGTTCGGTCCCGAATTCATGGGCGATGAGCTCTCCGGAAGCGTCCTCACAATCGTTGGCGACGCGGCTCTGCCTCCAGCCTTCCCCAGCCGCCGGAACACCAATGAGGGTGACTCCGCCCGGGACCACCCCTTGTACAAGAACGCTGTTCCTCAGGCCGATGGCCTTTTCCACTGCCCCTGGGAAGGAGAAACCAGCTGCAACCACAAGCCCGAGAAGCTCAAGTGCAACTATGAGTGAGTCGACCCTTTTGGATACCCATCATCCCCACGACCCACTCCTCGCATGACTAACGTATGCCTTTCCTCCCCTACAGCAAGTTCGTGGACTCTCACTTGAAGCCCTACCGCTGCAAGATTGACTCTTGCGAGAACGCTCGCTTCTCTTCGACGGCCTGCCTTCTCCGTCACGAGCGTGAGGCCCACGCTATGCACGGCCATGGTGACAAGCCCTTTTTGTGCTCCTATGAAGGATGCGACCGCGCCATGCCTGGCAATGGATTTCCCCGCCAATGGAACTTGAAGGACCACATGCGTCGTGTCCACAACGACAACGGTGCCCCCGGATCTCCCACCAACGCTTCCGTTGGACAGCAGAGCTCCAAGAGCCGCAAGCGCAAGGATGCGCCCAAGGCCGGATCTGCCCCTTCCTCTCGCAAGGTCACTGCGAAGCCCGCCGTCGTCGAGGTTGCCATCAAGGAGGAGGAGCAGTCCTCCAAGCCTCTCATTGAGGAGTGGCTTTCCCATCGCCAGGCTCTGGAGAACATCATTCGCGACTTTGCTCAGCCCGAGGATGTCAAGAACGTTCAGCTCATCAAGGATGCTCACAGCCACCTGGCTGCCATGGGAAAGATCGGAAACACCCTCGCTCCCTTCCACGGAAACTTCGTCCAGGCCGGATGAACACACAATTTTGGTCCGTAAAAGCCCGCTACCACCATATTCACGGAGCATCTCACTGACCTGTGACGCCTACAGACGTAAATTTCACACAACACTGGATGCCATCAGCCACACATGCAAGTGCATTAGGCTCGTCAACAGCAGCACGTCGATCCTCGTAGGGTGAGGATCACGCTGATCACTGGAGATATCAGACGCTCACGAGAGACTCGTGTGTGCCATGAGATATACTTCTTTTACCCCACGGACAAGCCACAAAGCCGGATGGACAGTGTTTACACCAGCCGCCAGGCTACGGATATCCCCAGGACTGAAGCCATGGAACACACAGAACGGAGACTCGCGAGCACCAAGAAGCTCTGGTAAACGCCGAGCCGCGGTGCGGAGGAGAGAAAACGGAGGCTTTTTGCTATTTTTGCTTTTCAAATTGTTCAGAGTCACTAGAAGACACACATGTAAGAGCTCGCAGCTCGACACAACAGAAATTGTACCTTTTGAAGACGCCCCTCGCTTGAGGGGTACAGTCCGACGAACAGCGTCGAGCTCGAGGAGGAGTCAGCACCTGGTTGCACAAGATTCAAGGAAGATTCATGTACAGAGATTAGAATTGTTCGAACGAGGAGACGGTTTTGCAGACAGATTACAAAAAGAGAAAAACGGTGCCGAAAAGAAACTCATCCAGTCCACTTGAGAAGCGTTTAATTTTCGTCACCAGGCCTTTGGACTTTAGGGTTATCGGCAATCAACAAGAGTGACTTGGGACGTAATGATAGTCCGATTGACATTGACTTTCTCATTCAAAGCCGTCTGCCTGCCTGTCCTTCTGGCGGGGGAGATTTGGGACGATGTCGTGCAGCGGCGTTCATCAGCTTCGCCCGGTCCGAATTGAAGAATTGTCCCATCTTCATCAGCCGCCCGTCCCCCTCTCTTCCCTGGCAACCCCTAACCCCGTTCACCCTTGATCGGTCTTTTTGGCGAACATCTCTTCTTATCCCGGCTTTCCAGACAGCGACGGTCTGTCTGGTGGTATTGGTACCTCTACTTTATCCCCTCCGTCCAACCTGGACCATACCATACCACCCACTTCACCATGTAGGTTTTCTTCCATAAAAAGGGGCATCAGGGGAGGAGAAGCATCAATCCAACCATGGGCTTAACGCAAAAATATCTAACCCCCGTACCCGGCTTGCCGTCGCTGGCCGTCCTTTCCCCCGTGAACCTTTTTCCTCGCCCATCTCCGCCTTGTGCGTCCCATCTGATCCGTCGTCTTTTCATCGTGATGGGCGCGGCTACTGGGCGGGCGGTGGCGGATGACATGTAGGAAGCCGCCTTTGGCGTGTGGGAAGATGGCCAGGGGAGGGGGGCGGGGGGCGGACAGAGGGGGTCATAGAAGCTTGCTTGGGATGGACTGGTTGGTGAGCTGTGAACGGGTTCTTGCGGAGCTTGGAAGCGGGAACGAGGTTGAGAGAGGTGGATTACGCGGATGGGAAGGGACGGAGATCTGGTGTTTGGATGGCGAATCTTGCAAGTTGGTCATCTGGTTTGTGAGTGCTCGGTGAGGCTTTCTCTTCTGTCTCTTTTTGCCCCCTTTTTGAAGATCTCGATGTTTTCAAAAGTTGATGTAATCTGGTTTTCTTGGGGGTAGTCGCTGACTACGTGTGCGTATTGCGCGGAGAGCTTTGATCACGTATCCGGCGGATCATCTTTCGGTGGCTTCGACTCATCGTGATCTTTCTGTTTCCCCCCTCGTCTTGTTCATTACCACGTTCGTCACAGCCGGGCCACGCGCGGGCAGTCTTGGGATGACGGCTTGGGATTTCTCACCGACGGTTGTGGGATTGGTGGACGACGATGGGAGGGCCGAGGTGGCATGCGGCAAACTACACACCGGCCGACAGCCTAAATCTACGAAGGAGAAACGAGAATTGGATGGAAACGAGAAAGAGCCCCGTTGGGAACAGAGCATACGGCGCAACGGGCATGGCTAACCGTTGAAACGGCGGCGTTTGCTCGCTGATTGATAGAGGGGGGAAGAGGGGATGGAATATGCAGAGTAGACGGGTGTAACGCAATCCGATGCCAAAGCCGTTCTATCTCCTCCTTCTCCTCACCGAAAAGTCCCAGGAGAACAAGAGTTGGGTGTTAGATGGCCTGCCCTGATTACAGTGAGATGGTGTGTGATATGCGGAAACTATGACCGAAGATGGGAACAGACGAAACCGAAGAGCTTGCAGTATGGACGAAATGTTTACCTGTTGCGATGGATGCTGATCACTGAAATGAGAGAGTAGTCTTCTGTGAGCAGGAAAGGGGAAGAGGGGGGGGGGGGGGGGGGGGGGGGGGGTGGTTGTATTGTAACGC